TTGATATTATTTTCTTTCACATTAATATTATCAACTTGTAGACCTATATAAAATGTATTCTATTAAAATTGAGGTTTTTCTTTACAGTGATCATGAATTTTAGCTTAATTCCTTACAGCTCCTTACAAATGAAGCCCTCTAGTCCTCTGACTAGAATAAATTTTCTACACTTTAAGGGAACAAATGCGGATGTAACAAGACTGAATACTGGAATTAGCACATGTTAGACTCAGTAGCAAGCTGAATCATTTACCAGAAGACAGTTTTTGGACATGATTTCACAGAAAGTAAAGTTGTGAGTGGCAAGCAAAGCATCAACAGATACGTTTTGCACCTCCTTCCTCTCAAAAAGAGCTCCACAGCAGGCAACAGTAGGTGATAACACTGATGGAGCCTAAACCAATTACTGAGGCCTTGGTCTGTGCTCCGAGAAAGATTATTTCAGTGGCAAAAAGCATCTTATATTGTGAAAGACTTATTTTTCATGGAAGTGTAAAATTGGACATCCTGACTTAAAAAAATGTACAGTACTGGAAACAGCAGCTCATGGAGTGGCAGAATAAGACGCAAGTCTAGGCTATAGAAGGGCACCTCACCCATACCACAGCCTTGCTCTAGAAGGAAGCAAAGCATAATTCAGCAGCAGATTTCACCCAGGGAACATAAAGGCACACTCACCTATCCTTTGGCTGGAAGTTGAAAGGATCCACACATTGCTAACCTGCAACAGGGTCCTATTAACACCAAAGGATTCCCAGGATCCTTCTGGGACCCGGGTTCTCCCAGGGTAGCAACAGGGACACCTTCCTTCTGTTCAAGAAGCTGCATGACTTCCTCCAAAAATCCTGAGGTGACAAAGACTAAAGATACCTCACCTAGAGCTCAGGAGCAACCAAAACACAGCCTTTCTAAAGATACCCTTTCTAATATCTCTGGCATTCTGGTTCATGGTTAAGTAACATGTGTATAGACATAAAAATCTGCACATTAACCACCTTATGAATTCAGCATCTTATTAAAGGATGAGAACAGCATTTAAGTAGCAGGGCTTCTATTGGGAATTCAGAATCTACAAAGCCTAAAATACTCAAAAAACAAGATTATTTGAACAGTAATATCTATTGAAGCTTGGGGTTTTTTTAACCTAGTAGAGAATTCTTGTGACCAGGTAATGACTTTAATGACTATTTCCAAACATGGACAAGATAAGCTATCATGAAGCAAAACTGATTTGTCTCTTCTGCTGCCATTTGCGCACACTGGTAATGATGACACGTTTGGTCACTTAGTAGATGACAGCCCTGCAGTAATTTTTTTCAAGCTGAGATTTCCAACTGAGATCTGTTTTGCAGTGCTTATATACCTACAACTTGCCATCTTCCAAAATATCCTGAAAAGGAAGTCCAAACTTACCAACAGTTGAGGTAGTAAGACAAAAAGTTTTCAGCTGTCTTTTAAGACATCTTCAATCTCAGATCACTTCCTGAATTTCTTCGAGCCTCCTTACACTCCATTTAAATATCAGGTCAGGCCACAAATTTTTAGCTGCTGTTCTTAAATTTCTGTGGCTTTTGCTGTTGGAGCTGCATTACTTAGTATTATGAAAGTTTCAGGAGGAAGCAGTTCAAATAATTTCAAACTTTTGACAGACTGTTTGCTTTTTAAGTCTCTCTGCATCTACTGAACTGTGCTGGCAAAGCTTTCACCACCACCCCCTAACATTCGTCATCCTGTATTCATTAAAGCTAATGCCTGCCGGGTCTTTTAAGTGACATTAGTCCTTACCTCCCCCCTGTCCCCACCCATACCACTCTGCCTTACAGTCACCATTACAACTGAACAGTGGGCAAACAACAATGGAAGGACAATGAGTTAAAATCATACATTTTATTGCCAAGTATCATTTAGGCTGACATAGTGAAGAGTTTTTCAGACAACCAAAATGAACATTTCTATTCAGATATTCATCTCCTGTACTTGTGAATTCCAAGAAGGTAGAAGATAATCCTTACTCTCCATTTCTTGCAGAATCCCTCTTTCTTTGCTTAATTCTCCGTAGAGCATTCATTGAAAACCACTTCAAATCCAAGCAATCATACCTCTTATTTCAGAATCTGAGGAAAAGGACTCCCCAAACTTCCATATGTATCTTTACTGTTTCTCTGTGATGCTTCAGTCTTCAAACTTTGGAATACCAAGACAAAGCTTGCAAACAATTCCAAAGCACTGAACTTTCAACTTGAATCTATTTCAGGTTTATAAAGAAAGTAATTTCATACCAGTAACTTGAAAAAATCAAGTCAAATATAAAACTTTCAACAAATAACTTAAGAATAAGTGTTTTAGAACTATTTTACTTTGCTCATTTCATTACGTGGCAGATACTGTACAAAACTGCCACAGAAACAGCGGTATTGAAGTCTACTTACGCATCTTACACAATTTTAGGTTAAACCCAAGCACTGCATATTCAGAGCACTTTAAACATGTTAGACGATATAGATAGGTAATAGCACAGCCCAAATGCCAAAGTATCTGCCTATTTTATACACAATTTTAAAAGCACTTCATGAAGTTGCATGAATTCCAACCAACATCACAATTTATTTCAAAAAAATGCTTATTGCAGAGTACTTTTTTCAAATAAATTTACAAGAAACAGTATTGTTCTTAGGGCTGTGGAAAATGACTAGCATATCAAAGCTTAAGTCTTGGTTCCAGTGCTGTCAATAGGATTTTTGCCACTGACGAAAGATTTCTTTTATCCACTCATATTTTCTATTAGATAAAACGTGTAAAGACCAGCTCAGATTTACAAAATAGCTATTTGAAAAATATTTCCATGAGGCACACGTGCAATATGAAGATGAGTTATCACAGGTATCAAAACTACAACCTTTAGTACTATTCCATATGAAAGTCACAGATATGCTGCAGCAAAAGCAAACCAGAACAGAGAGGAGAGCACCACTGTTAAACTTTGTCGAGTTCCTTCTTAAGGCTATGTAACTGTGTTTGGGGAAGAAAAACACCAATATTTTTTTTTTGGTATTAATTTCCTGCGTAAATATATGGTATCATGTTTTTAACCAAGTTATTAAAATGCATTTAAAAATGTTTCTGTACACATGACTTGCTTCATAACTACAGATATGCTCCAACAGCCATGGCTTAGAGATGCGTAACATACAGATCTATAAAAGTATTTTAATATTCATGTATTTAAGAGGTTTAGCGATGAGAATTACAACTTCTCAGTATGAATAGATTCAGTAACAATTATTAGTCTCACCTTGAGAGGCTGGAGATTACCTGGGTTTTCTTACTAAAAGCAGTGACAGAATACTTGACTGCTGATGTGCATCTCACTAGGGTTCACATTTTTATATTGAAGCCATAATCTGATAAAAATTCCAAAGAGCAGACCTAAATCTAATGTTATTAAAATATTTTAAGTTTTAGATTTCAAATCAGAGGTGCAATGTGAAGTTTTATTTATATTGATGTGAAACTGTGCAAAAAGTTAATAGGCTTCATCTTCATTCTATTTATTATCACCTAAATCCCTTTTTGTTTTGCTTCTGTAATGTTAAGTCTACCTATGCTATACCAACTGCACGTGTTCCAGCGTACATGCATCTAACTTTATACTCTCAGCTCACCAGACACATGCCAGCTCCTGTCCAGAACCTACCTTTGCAGTACAGCTACATACAATCTCCCTAACAAGTGTTATTAGCTTGAAAACAGTGTTATATTAACATAGCTCTGAGCTTCAAGACCAGAATTAGCCTTTTTTTTGGCCACACTGACCTGGCACTGGAATAGATCAATCCCTTCATTGTGAAGAGTTTAAGAAATACATTTCTGGAAAGATGCCAAGCAACTTATTTCTTCAGCTGAACTTAGCAAAGCAATACACCTTGCAGAATCAAACATTGATTTGGTTAAGTAATTAAGGGCAATATAAGCTATGTTTATTTATTTTTCATTTCTGTTCACAAAATATTAAACAAAAAAAGGTAAAACCCATTTAAACTACATGCAAATTAAAAGCCTGAACACTCTTCAGGATTGAGAATCATTCTGGTAACTGTTTTACCTGAAGCATATGCATTTCAAAGGCTTAGAAACATTTAAGACTGCTTTTATTTAAATGTAGAATGATAAGTTCCTATGAAAATAGGTAATAACAGCAGTTATTTTAATTCTCAGAACATTTTGGGGAACAGATATGGTCTGTGAGTTTGCTGCTCATTCTTTCATGTTTCACAAGCTGTTGAAGACAAAATGTAGTCACAGAATCCCTCTGTTAAGGTTCAGGATCATGTGATAACTATAAGTGAATCTAGGTCTGGATAACTGCTTTCTATTTTCTCGGCAACAAATCTCACACTACACTGTAGTGAGCTGGCTGAAAAATAAATCAACAACAGATGACAAGTTTTCTGCTAGATCCGTTTCTTCATTATGCTAAGCCACTTTTAGCAGCAGCCTCTGATGCTGTATAGGGGACTGTCCTCTAGTGCTACATGTAGCCAGCCACAAGGAACACTAAACAGAGTGCTTCGGTGTCAGAGTTAAAGTTATTAATTCAAAAAAAACTTCTCAAGTGAGCAAATATTACTCAAATTCAGAGCTGTACCACCTCTTCCGATCCAACCAACCATCTCCTCTCCTAGGCAGCTACTCACCTGCCTTAACTCATCCTCTGGAAACAATTCACCATGTATGAGACCACTTTGGTGTCTTTCACAGTTTAAACCATCCTCCCATTTTGTTCACAAAACAATGATCTTCCATTGTCAAAGAGTTTAGACAGATGATCTTAAAAATTTCACAAATATTGTTCCAAATTCATAAAATACTTCACACATTTTTTAAGCTTGCACAGTACAGAGAAAGATTATAAACCCCAAATAAAACCATGCAAAAAAAACCCCAGAAGACCATTAAGCTAACATATCTAAATACAAATTAAACCAAACAGAACACCAAAATAATATATAAAGTATGATTTTATTCAAGGTCTTGAATAACAAAGTATTAATAAATTTCTTGTGTTGATTTTTTGGGGTTTTTTTTGGTTTTGTGGTTTTTTTGTGTGTTTTTTTGTTTTGTGGGTTTTTTTGTGCGATTTATTTTTTTTTTTTTACACATCAAATTTGAAATAAAGCAAAGTATGTCTTAATTCCCCACCTCTCCCAAATCAAAAGACGCCTGTGCAATTAACAGGCACTGAAATGTATATATCTATACTTCAGACTAAATTTTTCACTTCCTTCCATGTAGAGGAATAACTCATACCCAGGTTTACCACATTAACACAAAAGTGAATTAATAAAAATATAAAAACACTTCAAGAATAATCCCATCAGTGTTTTTAGCACAGATTATTTCTGGTCCATTTTAAATTGCATGAGATATGTCAAAATAAATCTCTGAGATTTATCATTGTTCCTACTACCTCCAAAAATATATTTGATAACCAATTCTCTCACTTTAAAGGCATCAATGGAAATCTACATCATTCTGACAACACATTAGATAAAAAATTGCACCAAATCCAGGTTTAAAAAGCTATACTACTGTTAGGTGTTATGCAGTTACATGAACTGTAAAAATGCATAACTTTTTGAAGTATCACAATCAATCTAACTTTAGATGTTAAATCATGAATATGCTGAACAACTGATCATTTGACAGATAACAAAAAAGCGCCTCACACAATAATTTAGTGTCTTCACCTCTAAGCTTCTATATCATAATTCTACACCAATCAACTTCAGTCCTGGACATCAAAGTAGTCAATTACTGGCTCTTCCTTTACTGGCTTGGATAAACCACTGTTTCCACTACTCCTGAAATTATAAGAATATTAAATGTTACTCATCTGCATGAAAAACAAGACACAAAGTAAACTGAAACCTCAAACTCCCATAATGTCTCAGTGTGCACATGCACACAGCATTGTTAACTGCACTGGTAACCACATTAGTAAATGGCATGCATTGCTATATTATGTTTTAATAGAAGCACCTTAATGCTCCAGAAAGCCTTCGTTAACCAACTTTGGAAAAAACATACACTTTATTAATGTAAATCAGTCTGTGGCTGAATTGATATAATGTGTTTTGGGGTTGTATTATTAAAATTACAATTTGGTAACAAATATTACCAGCAAATACTATTTACTGTTAATATTTATTTAAAAAACTAAACTGTACTGAAGACTAAATGTTCAACATGCCTTTTTAAAAGAAAGAACAAAAGAAATACTGTTGAAGTGACCTGATGATCATATCTGCTCACCTTTAAAAGCAAGAGTACCAAAACATGTATCTTAATATCAAATACAAACAAAGACTTTTTCCATAACAGAGCATGAAATATTTCAGAAAGCTTTGTACAATTAAGCACTTGAAATTTAAATTCTAGTAATTAAAGACAAATGGCTAAAGCCTTTTTTATTTAGTTTTGCCACATAACACCCTTTCATTAGGGTCACTGAAGACAGGAATCCCACAGAAGTGGAAATAAAGAGTAACAACCTTTATAAAATTCACACTGAGTTACACCATAAGCAGTCATTTTAGACATATTTTTTGCTCTAGATGCTTAGTTCTGAAACAATTTAAATTTTCTCAGTCTACTTTGTTCTCCAGCAGCACCTTAAACACCCAATAGCTACTGCCAGAAATAGTTACTGTAAAATCAAGTTGTCCCTTTCTGTAAATGGTGCTTCACAGAATGTAATTTCAAGTGCTAATTTAGAAATAACTTGAGTTAAACCTCAACAAAAACTAAGCCATCCGTTAAAAAAAAAATCATAACTATGAGATTACTACAGGTACATGAAAGCTGGCAGGTCATACAAAGTAAAGACTGCTCTAGTAGACTATTCACCAAGAGGCTTTATGTATCCCATCTTCAGTAACTTTCACTATCTGACAAAAATGGTAGTTCACCTTTAGCCAGCTGTGTAGTCATATCTACATAAGAAAAATATATTTACTACCTGTCTAAATAAATCATTTTATGCCAGTAAGACATTACCCTTTTACAAAGAACAGTTAAAGATAAAAAACAATCCAAAAATTCCCAAACAGCCATCTCTTCCCAACTATCTAATCTTTATTAATTTATTTTTTTTTTTAGAAGTCCACAGTATTTGTTATATTACTACTCCTATGCCACACAGTCAATCCTACATTTCCTTAGCACTTCATTTCAGGTTCACTTCTACGGAAAGAAAGTCTTAGTACAGGTTGCAAGCTCCAAAGCTGCATGTGTGTTGGGAAAACAAAAAGCCAGAGAGTATGAAGTTGAAGCTTAGGAACACTCTCCTCACATAACTCAGCACAAAATTGAAGAATATTGTTTTAAAGACAAATTCCTTACTTATCTGTTTGTTTGTAATGAGGAATAGGAGGTGGAGGCCGGCTCTGCATTTCTTTATCCAGCACAGAAGTTAAGGTATTGCTTGGACAAATGGATTTTCCTCTAGAGAAATAAAGTAAAGATATTTAATTCAATAGGAAATTATATTCATTAAGACGTTAGGACAAGAGAGATGCATTTTTAAGTAGCAGTTCTGGTATCAGAGTTCATACTTGTACACTTAAATCATCTATTCAAATATTTATCTTTCCAACCATGGAGACCAATAGTGTGCAAAGTCCATTTTCATTACCAAAACCAAGATATCCAGTATTCCAGATGTCTCTTGACTGCTGTCTATAGAAGATGCAGAAACAGTTTACTATATTGGAGTCTTGGTGCTCAGACTCCTTCATTTCTGCATGTGAAGTGCACAAAACACATTGTGAAGATGCAGTGAACTGTGTTCACATAATGCCAAATTAAGCTATTAAGTTGTCGATTCTGATCTTACCTCTGTTCTGTGAAAGAAGAGATATATATTGCCCTAGAACTCAATTTGGGTATTTTAACAGGCTGCAGGGGAAGTGGCTAAGTCACCATCCTGGAGATATTTAAAGGATGTGTAGAAGTGGCATTTAGGGACACAGTTTAATGGTAAACTTGGTAGTGATAAGTTAATGGTTGGACTCAGTGATCTTACAGGTCTTTTCCAACCTAAGTAATTCTATGATTCTATGTCAATCACTAAATAATGCTTCCTCCTTATTTATTTTATTCATAATTTTTAAGTAAACTCTTCCTACAGCAGAGTCCTCTAGACCATGAGATTCTGTGTTACTAATCACATGAAATTTCTACTTTCAAGTTTATCTTGTCCCTTTCAAAATTACATTTCAAATAGCAAAAAACCCTACAAAACAATGTTGTTATAATTCCACAAGTGTGCATGTGTTGATTTCCATGCTTTGTTACTTGATAATTTGTATTTTTTTCCCCTCACCCCTCTCAGAGCTCTAAGCAGTTGAAATCTTACATCAGTACACAGATTAACACTAGCTCTATTCCAGAGCTCAACAAAAATTAAGTATGTCTTATTTCCAGCATTTCTTGTCTCCATCAGTTCTGCAAATATAATTCCTGCGATACTGTGGCAACACAGATGAAAAACTACACAATATTCTCAAGGTAAATCAGAAGTCCACTAAAATATGAAGCGATGAACCCTGGTCCCATTTCAGTATTGTTTTAAACTGAGTACTGACAGTCTGTTCAAATGAACTACAAAATCTTGCAAACATGGGTCACCAATTCAAAAAGAGTCCCCACCTCTCCAACACCGAAAGTGTTAATTATCTGAAGAAAAAGTTACTTGCCACTGATCATAATTTTTTCAGGACTATATTATGCTTATGTATATATTTCAACAGCAAGTATATATTAGTGTCCTATCAGTTGAGAACATTTAATTTTCCCCTCCTGTATAAAATGGGTGTAAGACTACTCCAAACCTGGCATATAAAGCCAAATGGCTCCCACTATCATTTCAGTTACCTCTCAGTTGTAAAGCAACACCCAAAAAGACTAAAAGAGGACAAAGGTAGATGGGAAAATATTTTGTTGTCTCCTTTCACTTTTATGAATTGTGATGTGCAAAAACATGGAAACCTGACTGACTGGAGGTAGGTAAATTGGCCAAAAAAAGAAAGGCTAGAAAGGCCTTCCCCAAGTAAAGTAAGGTGTTTGACTTTAAAACATTAGATTAAATATCAGTTCTGTAATAAAAAAAAGAAAATAAATGAGAGTTCTGGAATGCATAAAACCAAAACACTTGAAGAATACATGTGCACTTATTTCTACAATTAGCTAAAGAAAATCTTACTAGAAAAGACAACATTACCACATTCCAAGAAAGTAAATAAAGGAGCTCTGCTCTGAAGTGAAATATTCCCAGCATGTAGAAGGTTAATATATGAAACATTTAAAACTGAGGAGGGATCAAAACCTTGTGGGCAGTTAGAGGAGATCCTGGAAGAAAATTTGCCAAGCCCTATTTTAGCTTTGACAAGATTCAGTGTCCCTCCAAAAAAACCCACCAAAAAGAAAAAAAACAAACCACAAAAAGCAAAACAGAAGAGCTATACAGTAGACTGTCCAGCCATGAAACCAAAGAGGCTTTATAGACAATCAACTCACACTCAAGCAAAATGTATACCACTTCCTGTATACCTTGGTGACACATAGTACTACAATCTCAAAAAAATTCTGTATTTAAAAAATATATTAAACAGCCAATCACATTCAGCTCATCTGGAAGAAAACCAAACAAATTAATTCAACTAAGTAGGTGTACAATGGAAAAAAATCCTTGACTAATTACTTGACAGAAAGGCGACAAGCAGACCTTCCCTTCCTGCTAAGGTAAATCATAGTTATCTATAATCAGTTCTATTACAATTGTGGAGATGAAACCAAAAGTCTCTGCAAGTACTTTGGACATTCTCATATTAAAGATGCCATTCTTCATTCTATTAACTTACTCTCAAAGTAAAGAAAAAAGGCAACTGCCTTCCTCAAGCAACAAAGATGAGATGACAAATTTTTAGCAGCACTCCAGGGAGAGACAAGGAGAACATAACTATCTGCTAACTATAATGCACTGGTAGTTCTGACAGGATGGCCTGTTGTATAAAAATGAATTGTGGAAATTCAGACTCCAACTTATTTTCTCCTTAAAAACTGAAAGTTCAATTTTCATAACTCCAGTATGGATCAGCATTGATCTGTTTTGGTATGAACTACTACAAAATTCTTTGCCTCCTAATCTGTCCAGAACTGACTTCATGTAGCCTTACAATAATGTTTCAGACAGAGCAGGTTTTTGTGAGAAGTCTCCAAAAGTTGATACAGTTTGGGCAAAATAAAGAAGCTCTCAATCTCCTGACTGTCTAGACTTCACATATCCTATGTCATAAGCTGTAAAGAGGCAACACATTCTCAGGGAAAACAATGTCAACCGAAGTAAAAATAGTAGGGTTTTTTTATCTGGAGCAGGCCTGTTGTTAAAACTACCTTGGCTGGTGACCTGTAGCATCTTTTGTGCATAAACTGCTTTAGATGCTAGAGGTGTTGAGATGCAGTCACTGGAAAAGGCCTTTGTAATTGCAAAAGAGGTGGGGAGAAAGTTAGCTTTTTCCTCATGGAAGAAGAAAAAATTCTTAAGAGAGTGAAAGGTAGAATAAAAGTCCTTAAAGTAACAGAGTACCTTCAGGAAGTGATAAGAACTTCTGTCAAATTGGAAAAAAAGTTATTCCAGATAGCAGAAAGGCTGCAGAGACAGTTAAGTAAAATGAACTTGTACCTGGAGATCAAGTACTGAAACATGCCCAGTAAAACAAGCCAAAGAATAATTCTGCTTCCTCAGACATACAACTTCCTTTCAAGCCTGCCACTGGGATGTATAGTTTTTGCCTTCTGTGATGCAACTGCCATGATCTGATAAGGGTGTTCAATGTAGTTACAGAGTGTCTAATTTCTTTAGGCCTTTGTTCCTGCTGGTCTTGTGTAGTTTGCAGGTAGGTGACCACTCCTGAACTGTCTCCAGATTGACCTCACTGAAAGGGAAAAAAAAACCTGGATGAAGAATAATAGAGAACACATCAATGATACTGTGGCAGGATGTGGTTTTCTCAATGAGAACAATATGTAAGGACCCTGTCACCTTCCTGAAAAGTGCCCTTGTTCATGAGGAGAGACTGACCCTATTGTCCTTCCTGGAGGGAACAGGAAAAGGATGGGTCTTACAGGGATGGACTGTTCTCAAAAACACTTCCAGGATTTCAAGTTCACACAAGCTGCTTAAACACTAGTCACTACATAACAAGCAGACACCCCTTAACAGGCTCTGGCATCCAGAGTTACTCATAAGAGGAATTAACATGAGTAAAAGACTTCAATGAACCACTGACAGGTAAAGTGAAGCATATGTGTCAACTTGGAGATGAAAGCCTTCCACCTTTCATCATACCAGTCTGGACATTACCTTTGGACCTGGTTCAGAAGGAATCTGGCATTTGCAACTGCTCAAAAAATAGTGACTGCAAAAATGACCAACAGGGAAGCAGAGAAGGGCACTTGCAAGGATTCACTCGGAGTCTTATATTTCAAATGGCACCAGAACTGTAACTCAGATCAACTCTGACAGTCAATGCTGGGAAGGCTCTCTATGTGGTTAGACCCTGACAATGCCATACATTAGCGATTCCAGTGCAGCTAATATCACCAACTCTTACTGATGTGGTGGAACGATGATGGGGGCAGGGCTGAGATGAAGGCAGATTTGTGGTGTTTGCTCCTAGATATCCAGAACAGGAAGAGTCCTGCTGGAGGAGCTTCCTAGCACCAAGGAGACTATTACTCTTCTAACCAACCTGTATGATGATGCTACCAGTTCCATGACACAATGGGGGAGTGTGAAAAGAAAGAATAGTCTCTCTGCCTAGGATCATTTTGAATTATCTATACTCAGAGAAGACCACAATAAAAAAAACCTATGGGGAATACTGAGAATAGGATGAAACAAAATTAACCAAACCATCTGGACTTCCTGGTGACTACTAGCCCCTGGGGTTAAAGAAGCTGTTGTGAAATGATGCTCAAAAAATCATCCTGGAACTTGAGCTATCACTTGTCTAAGACGTTAATGTTTTCTGTGTCTTGAAGAAGTGGCAAATAAAAAGACAATGGAAAGAAGCTTTGGATGAATCCACTGAAATAAGAAACATTGCTATGCAGCTGAAGAATATTCTTAGTAGACCACCCGGTGTCTGTAAGAGTGGCAGAGGTAAAATAGCAGCATGTGTGTTCTGCACAGTATGCTGCTCCCGGAACAACACAAGGGAAGGAACTAGTATGCAATCTCTCTTAAAACCAGAGAAAGGCCTCCCATTCTCAAGTTGCAGGATATGTCTTTGTTTTTAATACATAGTCATCTGTTCTGCTCCTTTCTCTGACACTTTATCCTCTTCACTGATTTCTCACCCCCTCATCTATTTTCTATTTATTTTTCTTAAATAAGCTTTTTCAAATATGATCTTTTTTCTTACTTTCCTTTACTAGAAACAAAAAAGAGTATCTTAAGTTATTTCATGGAAACAAAAAGGGGTGTATCACAGCAGTATTCCATCTCTCAGAAAAAAAACCCCAACACTGTAGCAAGGTTATCAACCCATGAACAGGCTCAGGAGCAGCTCACGGCACTAGTAGCATAGATGATGACATATGTAACTATTTATAACTATAGAACATACCTGATTATTTATAACTACAGTAAAAATCTACTGTTAAAAACAACTGGCTGTCAAAAGAACCACAATTTGACAGTGCTAAACTAAATATGCTGCCCAGGGTATAGTCCCTCAGCTGAAGAGGGAGTACACTCTGTGGCAGGTTCCAATAAATGGAGAATGAGTAAGGTCAAATACCAGATGTTTTCACAGAAGGTGCAAATTTAGGTATGACTTTCAACCCAGCAATTAGTTTTCATAAAACTTCATGACATTTACTGTCTTTGATAACTCTATCAAATTTAGCTGATGGCAAAAAGACAAAAAGTTACTGCTAAGATAAACAGAAAACAGTCTTACAAAATCTTTTATTATCTTTTTTACTTCTAATTGGGTTTTCTTCTCTAAAGATTTACTTGGTAGTGGAAATACAGGCCTACGAAATAATCAAATTAAAAACTGCTTTAAAAACTTCTAGAAGTTACCACATGTTGCAAATTGTATGATAAACAAATTATTTCGAGTAAGTGATAAAAATATCCAATTATTAAAACTATAGTTAGTAGATTTGAAAACAGTAATGAATTACGTACTTCACTGCAGTGATAACAACATTACGCTTTGGTTCGTTGTCATAGCTCACACTTTCAATGCCATAAACCTGAGCTAATTCATGGATGATTCTGCGGTGATCTCTGTTCATTGGTGGGTAGCAATGGCTCTTCTTTGTATGTTTGCCCTGAATTCAAGAGAAAAGTTTAAGAAAAAAAAAAAAGGTGAAGTTTTCTTTCAGAGGGCCAGGGGAAGAAAGGTAACTGTTGCAACTGTGTTAAAAAAACCCCACCAAAACCACCAAAGACAATGGAACATAAACTAAGAGCTATGGGTTGATTAGCTACACATCAAAGACTGAGAAAAAAATCATAGAGCAATTCCTTTAAAAAACAATTTTTAGGTACGTGAAGGAGAAAGTCCCTGGGGGTAGTCAGTGTGGATTTATAGAAGATCAGTCACCTAAATTAACATAAAGACAACCACATGTAATAGAGCAAGATATACACCAGAGCTACACTGTAGTTACCCTGTAAATAAAGAGTTAATATCTGTCTCCTCTTAAGACTGTAAAATAGCTAATTTATGAATAGTAATTGGACCAGAAACTGTGGTTAATCATTTCCATAAGTCTTCAGGGTAACCACAAGTCATCAGGATATAATCTTTACTTAATAATAAACATTAATAAACCTCCCACCTATTATAACACTTACAGCATATAGACAAACATTTGAATGAAGAAAACTACAGATTCTGTACCTATTTATGATGACTAGTAACACTTGGTTTAAAAAAGTGGTGATGGTTCCACACTCAGAAAAACATCAGAATTTCTGTCCATATGTAGACAGAGTTAGATGATATAAATGTTTCCTGTCTTGTCTGCTTACATACCAACAATGACAATTTTGCTATGCTAGACAAGTACATAATGATGAGTCTGGAGGAACAGATTTTCATGAGGCAGTCACATAGAGTTCCTCTGCCGGCTTTTACGGTAACATTATGATAGATACAACTGAACAATATTTATACTAAAACTTGTATCAAAATCCTTTTAGTTACTAATTTATTCAGTTAAGCTGAAGCTGGTATCTCAAAAGAGGAAAAAAAAGTCAGTGAAATATGTAAGCATAATAATAGTAATCAGCATGAAAGACAGTACTGATACAAGTAGAGCTATCTGAATGCTTGATAGACTAGCATGCAAAATACTTTTAATATGAGTAAGTAGAGATCTACATCTAGAAACAAAGAAAATAAGCCACAATTTTAGTCAGAAAGAATTTAGGAGTAGTCATAAACAACTGAACACAGATTCAAGCATAAGGAGGACTTATAGATCATGGAAGAACAACAATTAAAACCAGTCTCCTTGCATAATGCCATCTCAAACTCATTCATCCAGTCTTCAGCTACATAAAAAGGGGGAGTTGACTTGATCAGCTTGGACACAGGCCTAAATGAGCAATAGCAGTAACACTTACCAGGTACAGAGACATGCCAAGACAACATAAAATACCTGAGGATTGCAAGAAGAAACATGACTCTTACAAGGAGAAAATAAAGCCTCTGAGAATTCCAGAAATAAAATGTATGCAAGAAGAATTTGAGTGCAAGGGACATGTTCCCTTTTACACAATACATGCCACTATTTTGAAGGAATAGAAAGTCAAGAGCATGGTCCCCACACATGCTGTCACTCCTGTCTTCAAGAGAGGCAGGAAGAACACACAGAGATACAGGCTGGTCAGCCTCATCTTGATCACTGGAAAGTAAGAGAGCAGCTCATCCTGGAACCCACTTCCAGGCACATGAAGGACAAGAAACTCCACAGGAGTAGTCAGCATGGCTTCACCACGGGGAAGTCATGTTTGACCGACTTGATAAACTTCTATGATGACCTGACACGCCTGGTAGATGAGGGAAGAGCAGTGGCTGGTGTCTGCCAGGCCTCCAGTAAGGCCTCTCACACCATCTCCCATAAGAGCCTCACAGCCCCTCCAGCTGTTGCTGTAGGGGCTGGATGAGCAGACAGTGAGGTGGATTGAACACTGGCTGCATGGCCGGGCCCTGAGGGTACTGAGGAGCAGCACAAAGTCTAGTTGGAGGCTATGGGGAGAGGAGAGGGGCCACATACTGAGTCCAGGCCTATTCACCATCTTCATTAGTGATCTGCACAATGGGGCAGAGCATAGCCTCAGGCAGTTTGCCAGTGACACAAAGCTGCGAGGACAGGCTGATGGGCCAGAGGGGCATGTTGCCATCCAGCACAAGCTTGACAGGCTGGAGAAATGGGCTGACAGAAACCTCTGGAAGTTTGGCAAGAAGTGCAAAGTCCTGCACCTGGGGAGGAACAACCCCACACACCAGTGTATGCTGGGGGCCACCCAGCTGGGAAACAGCTTGGCCAAAAAGGCCCTGGGAATCCTGCTGGACACCAAGTTGGACACGAGCCACTGATGTACGCTTGTGGCAAAGGCGGCTACGGCTATCCTGGGCTGCACCAGGCAAAGTACTGCCAGCAGGCTGAGGGAGGCAATCCTTCCCCTCTACGCCTGGCACTGGTGAAGCCACCCCTGGAGTACTGTGTCCAGTTCTGGGCTCCCCAGTACAACAGAGACATGGATGTACTGGAGAGAGTCCAGTGAAGGACCACGAAGATGATGAAGAGGCTGGAACATCTCTCCCTTGAGGAAAGGCTGAGAGAGTTGGGACTGTTCAGCCTGGAGAACATCAGGGAGATCTCATCAATGTGTATAAATACCAGAAGGGAGGGTGCAAAGAGGATGGAGCCAGGCTCTTTTCCATGGTGCCCAGTGACAGAGCCGGAGGCAATGGGCACAAACTGAAACACGGGAGGTTCCCTCTGAACATCAGGAAATGCTTTTTACTGTGAGAATGAGCAAGCACTGTCACGGATCACCCCGGGAGGGTGTGGCCTCTCCATTCTTGAAGATACTCAAAAGCCGTCTAGACATGGTGCTGGACAACTGATTCTGGATGGCCCTGTTTGAACAGGGGGTTTGTACAAGATGACCTTCAGAGGACCCTTTCAACCTCAAATATTCCGCAATTCTGTGAAACAACTAGATTTCTGTAGCAGGGCACAAGTTGATCTGCTGTTACCAAATGGGCTCACGTGCAGAAGCACAGGAAGCTTGTAAGCAACGTGAATAATGCAGATCTAGAATGAGTGTCTAAACAGAAAGCTGGTAATCAGGTATCTAAACATCTCAAGAAGGAATCTGACAGCCTTATGAAAGTTAATATGTAACTAAACAGAGAATTTTATAGAGATGGTCACTGAACTCCTCAGGTAACTGTTGTGTTTGCCTACTGAAGATTTCGTGAAATAAGAATGATTTATCATCTGCATTTGCACTGTAATATACAGCTACCAAGCTTCGAGGCTTGTGTCACCTTTGGTGTTCAGAAATAAATCTCTTGCCTTTTGAAATATAATTTGACTTCTGGGGACTTCTTGTACCTTACGGAATAGCAATTCCCAAGAGCCTGAGGGGCAGGATGGTGCAGAACTGATCCTTAAGATATTGAATTGTCACATGGGCCTAACTGGTTCATCCGGATCATGATAAAAACTTAAGTAACCACTGGGCAATTCTCCCTTTAGGTCAGACAAGGAAAAGATTGTCACATCTGGTCTGCTTTCATTCTTTCATTCTCTTCTGCAATGTCAATGCTCTTCATCAAACACTGTCTGCTTTGTAGAATCATTATTTAACAAATAGTTGGGTACTGCTGAGAACTAAAGCATTGGAGATGCTTTTGAGCTCTCTGGTTTTGTTGTTCTGTCATATTTTATGTCATTAATCCATTGTCTACTGCAAATTCAAGACCTCTGATAGCTCTTTTTTTTTAATATATATTACTTATCTCGGTTTGATTCTAGTATAGGCATGTACATATACATATACACAGTTGTCATAAATACATATTTGTGTACGCACTTGTGTACATATGTGTGTATAATAAAGGCAGTATATGAAGGTATATGTAAAATTGGAAAACCACAGGCAACATAACACTGGGCAGATTATTTTTAGGCGATAACAACTGCTCTATGCATCTACTACCAAATGTCAGGTTGGAGAGGCCTAAACATAATTAGACAGATGGACCCCTTTTAAACTTTTATTCCAATGTGGAAAACAATGGGCAAGAACATTAGACAGGTGGCCAAAGATTAAGAAACATCATACATAAAAAAGAAGGAATAAAGTTATGGAACTGTCCTTAGAGAGTAGAGTGAAGAAGATTAATGCTTTCTATAGAAGGTTAACTTTTTCTTGAGCTAAGGGCAACTGAGAATAGTATGGCTTACACTGTCCTTTGAACCATATATACTGGGTCAGGCGTGGTGCAGCAGCAAGACAGGAGTATGCTAACCTGCAAGGCCCAAAGGCAGAATTCTCCTTTCACTAAAAAACCTGTAGTTGTGTCTGTGGTATCAACCTCTCTAAGTATACTGGAGTCTGCCAAACAACTGTGGCTGAATCCAAATCTCCTTATAGAAGGAGAAGGACTATCTCACACACTGGCAAACACAGGAAGACATCCACAAATTTGTAAGCAAGTTCCACTACAGGTATCAGAATAGCCTAGGCTTTTGTCCTCGAAGTCTCAACTTTTAAAGGCCACCCTTGACAGTTAATACTTTATTACTGGAGATCTGAAAATGAATGATAATTCATTGACACATTTAAGCATAGCACTGGTTGAATCCATTAAAAAAAAAAAAAAAGCTTGGCTGTGACCAAAGTGATCCCCAGCTACTATATCTCCTAAAAGTTTTATTCTATTTATAATTAAGTTGTGACCCCTATTGGAGCTCAAACAGTGTCAACTCCTAACTATTAGTATTAATGCAGTTTAACAACAAACTCCTCCCAAACTTAACAAAAACTGTTTCTTATAATAAGCCATACAGAATATCTGAATACTGACCTTATTCACAGCTTCCACAAGCATCCTCATCTCCTTCTCAATGTCACTGACAAATTTTAAATCCTTCCTGCAAGAACAGCATTGTAGGTAAATGAGGCAAGAAAGCTTACAAAAATACAATACCTTAATCTTTTGTAACATTATTTTCAACAAACAAAATTAAAGAACTCAATTGACTGAAGCAGAAGCAGGAGTGAGAGCACATTTTCATTTATATATTATACTATTTAGTTTTTAAAAATTTTAGTATGTCATCACTATTACAAAAATTGTTCATTTTTTTCCCTTCAACACTTAGAACCCAGCATAAAATTCTATGATGCACCTCTACCGTCTGAAAATACAATTCTACATTTTCAAATGGATAATGTAGATTTTAAAGCTGACATTTCAGTGTTTAAAATTACTTCTCTTTAAGGCAATTAACTTAATTAGAATACATGATTAGACACAAAATGGGGATTGGGTAAACAGAAGAGAGATCTTTTCCAAGACAGAGGAAAAGTGCACAGACTTTGGTCTTCAACTTGACTAGCATAACAAATTAGTAAGAACGAAAGAAGCATAAGGCTATTTGCAAGCAAACAAAATGTTCTTGATATGAGATATAAAGGATTTTTTTTTTTTTACCTTGTGCAATCACACTAGGTGAAGTCTTTCACATAAGGGTGAGCTTTGTACTCTGTTCTTAAATAAGCAAGTAAACTAACTCCAAAAGTAAGGTTGCTATTTGTTAGAGCACCATCTCCATGGGGAAGAAAGGTTACCTGAAGATTTCCTATCTCAAAGCTGGTTAGTAGTAAATAACTTTATTTCTTCAAAAGTAGGCACCATTCCATCCCAATACAACACCACTTTGTGAATGATGTCAGAACTTCATCAGTCAAGAAGTGCCTACCAAAGCAGGGCAAGCACTACCATCTATGGTAGATGCCCTACCAAAGTTCTGGATGATGAAGTGAACGTATCATCAAAAGACCAAGTGGTCTCAAGCGAACATGCGAAATAGCAACATTGTGTAGCTTGGCTACCAACATCACTTGAACGCTGGTACGATGAACTCAGCCTATCACTGGAAAACATTCAAGGTTTTGTAACAGTGAATGGACACTGCATGTAGTTATCAGAACTCCTGGATCTTCAGTGGAGAAAAGCATTACATTGAGAGAACTGCAAAAAGGACCTGGACTTGACAAGTTAAAAAGAAAGAGGCATCCAAACACCTAGGCTGTAGGATGGATTGAGTACATGAACGTTACTGAAACTAATTTCATGGACAACACAACATCCCTAGTTCCAGTGGCTTCCTAAAGACTAGAAGCAGGATCTTACCACCCTTTTGCTTGTAACATACTACAAAATGGCAGAATTGTGACTACCCATATGTGTGTTCAAAGGGGAGTCAAGTGTTTTCTGTGCACTTAGCACCTCCAGAATCTTTCATAGAAAAAAACTTAATGAAAAAACAATCCTGAGCCACCTGATGATCTAAATGAGCCCCAACCTACAGACTGTTCAGACAGGAACAACACAGGGCAGGACAATGCAGATGGTGGGAAAGACAGAACAATTGTTTTTTCTTTGGAATCACCAAGAAGATTCTGAGGGAGCATAATTTGAATTGAGGAATCTTCAGTTTACTCTGAAGAGGTACCCGCATCTGGAATGGCCTAGAGACTTCTGGATGCATCAGTTAACAGCTGAGGCAATCCAACAGGAAGATGTATCTACTGTGTCGAGATGTTGAGAGTGAAGAATAGTAATTCAGGCTGTTTACTCCTCTGACACCAAGGCTGACAAAGCACAAGTAAGAGTTTCTTTAAAGCATCAAAACTTCCCATCAGTGAAACAGTAAAGAAAAAATAAAGTAACTTTTCAAGAGTGTGCAGTCTTTCCATTCCAAATGTGGTAGCAAACGTCATTAGACTGCCATGACATAAGAGGAGTGGAGTGTCAGGTCAGCATGCAAAGTATACTCTTTATTCCTAGCTATACAGAAGCATGAACCCACACTTCACTGAAGGGCAAAAAGAAGCTTACAGTTGCCAAGAAACATTGGCAAGCATAACTGTTAGCAAAGGTCTTGCAAGGCCAAGAGTAACAAACTATCCATTCAGATGAGGAAGAAAATGAAGGCTGTTGTAAGTCATTTCACAAGATGACAAAAAAAAATCCTGCAGATTCAGTCATCTCTGTATGATCCTGATCAGATACCTGGGTGAGTAGGACAGAAGTGGCTACTGTTTACTTCTCACCTGTACTTGTGTCTAGTTCTGGTCTTGCAGTTTCAGGTTGCTTGTTTTGGTGTCTCATCCGCTTGCTCATATCCTGTTTGAAGTATTTCATTTGTGATCAGCCTGAGCTGGAATTCGCCTGTATATTTACAAATTAACCAATGTACAATTCATACTGTCCTATCAAAACCAAATGGAGTGTCTCCATTTCCCAGGATACCGATGAGTATCTACTATCCAAGCAAAGTATTTTCTCATGGATTTTTAATTCTTTCTGGCTACTTATCTGAGCTCTTACAGTAAGTTTTCCAAGTTTTGTCAAGTGTGTTGTTCTGTTATTTTATTTTTAAAAGGAATATTGTTACTGCTTACTAGTGCAGAAATCATGATTTGCACACAATTCTTTCCATTAAGCTATTAATGACTGGTTATGGCCAACCAACCAGTTAACTGCTCACTCAGAGCTCCTATGCTTTAACCTGCAATAGACACACAATGAAAAATAAGGTACAGCAAAATGAAGTGGTTCTTAGAATAAACACATCCAATCTGACTGTGGGTATACTGAAATTCTGCAACGTGGGACTTGAAAGCCTCTTCTGTGCAGTGTCTAAAAATGGTGTACATTTGGCTTTTCCCCTCCTCACACTGCATGTAAGCAGGAACAGGTCTACTGCCATTTCAGTTCCTCTCAACCACACTACTTCATAAGAGTGTTCCTCACTACTTGTTTTTTCACTGTAGTGTGTGCTGTATAATTTTTCCTTTCCCAAGAATTTGCTGACTTTGCCAAAACCCTCCTTGTTCTTGTAACACTTGCCAGTACAAGACTCTACTCTAGATGGCTGACATTCCAGGCTTGCAGTCATGTTTGAAAAGTAGCCCTCTTACCCCTAAACCTGTACACTGCTCCTATTGTCAGATCACATACAGGAGTGCTTGCTCTGCCTTCATTGTTTACAACAGCATGTGAAGGGTTAACTCTTGGGAAGACTGGATAAGAGGATGACTACAAAGGACCCATCTCCCTCTGTATCTCTCTAGACTTAACCATCTGATCCAAGATTTCCTTGGTCCATACAGCTGCTGTGGGGTCTTGCACAGCCAGTGACAAAATAAGAAGTTCTATTCTGTTTAGTTCCATGTGGCCAGATATTCCAGATGTCCTCCCCTCCTTCTCCAGTAGTCTTAATTCAAAGAGCAGCAGCCTTAGCATCATCCCTGTCAAAATGGGCATTGATATCTGTGCCACTATCCTCCAACTTCATGTGAGCAGGCCAACTTGAGCATTTGCATTTTCTCTGTGTCTATTTCTCAAGCATTTTAGATAGATCAGTGCTGAAGTGTCCACACAGTGGATCTATACTCAGTTGTGCTGGTACAGTCATCTTTAAATTAGAAGACCGATTCCCATTGGCAGCATGATAATTTCCTTATGTAGAGCTGTAGGGTGTAGAGACGAATGTTCTGACATTCTGAAAAACACATCAGCAAGACTGGCTGCAGCAGCATTGCCATGTTATTCCTGGTGCTCCCTTCTCCTGTCACTCTCCTACAAAGGAGACATATCCTGGCATACTTCCACTTACTCATCTTCTTCCTGTTACCTGGAGTTGTACTGCATCTCGGAGCTTTAGAGTTCTGTAATTAAAGATTGCAGCTCAAAATCAGGAGCTCTCACAGCTTTCTCAAGTCTTCTCATTTGTAGACCTGCATTTTTTTTTAGCCCCTGACAATGTATCACCTTCCCAGATCAATGGATTGCCTAAACAAATTAATATCACAGCATTCTACTCATGGTTTTTGGCAGCAGCTGCCTTTTTGAGGCAGTGACCCTGAATGCACAGGCAGGTGGCTGTCGTATTTCTCATCATTCCGAGATCACATACACAGATGTGTAGCTTACGCCCTGCAGAAAAATCACAAGCCCTGAACTTTTGCATTACTTGAGGGACCTGCACAAGCAAGAATCAATGCATCTGTCAAAACCTACACAGAATACTGAGCTACCTGAAGAAAATACTGTAACAGATACACTTTCCAGGTCCTGCCACTATGAGGGAAACCCAGACCTTTTGCAGGGCTGCTGAAATAAAGATCGAAGAGCAGTCAAGGAATTAAGTTCATAAAACCACAATTTACAAATTGCTGCTCATGTAGAAGAGAGGTATGTTAATACAGGGAGAAGCTCACTTATCTTGAAGACTAGATAAATGAAATTTAGTAATTCAATGTGCAAAGTCATCGATTTGGGGACTAACAGAACCTTTGCTTTAAGCTATGAATCAGTAAGAATAACCTGGCTGTATTATTGTGAATTACCAATATAGCGTGGCTACAAAGGAGATGTAACTAAAATTGTAGAATGACTGAAAAGAGATACTGGATATTAGGATATGAGACTGGACATTAAGAAGTATTTCTTTACAGAACGGGTTGTTAGGCATTGGAATGGGCTGCCCAGGGAGGTGGTGGAGTCCCCATCCCTAGAGGTGTTTAAGAGTTGGGTTGACATAGCGCTGAGGGATGTGGTGTAGTTGGGAACTGTCAGTGTTAGGTTAATGGTTGGACTGGATGATCTTCAAGGTCTTTTCCAACCTAGATGATTCTGTGAGATATTTCCATAGAGAAGCATGGAAGCATTGAGGCTATTTTTCAAGGTATCTGTTAGACCATCTGCAACACAGTGCATGATCCTGGTCAGTTCTGTTCATGAAAGATGAGCACTGCACTATGGGTAGAGAATAGCTGACAAGAAGGCAAGATTGGATTGTGTTCCAAAAAGAGGGGACTACACACACACACGTCACAAGATGTTCAACATAGTAAAAAAAGTGAAAATGTGCACTTTGTTTTCTGAAAGAGGTAGGAAAAAAGATATTCTATATACACTTAAGAGAACAGTCCTTATAAAATACAGCTTAAATGCAAATACTAATAAAACAGTACCTCCACAATGAGAACATTCAGCTCTTATCTTGCAGTAGGCTAATCAGTTGAAAGTAAAGTAACAAGTGATTTACTTTTAAATTCTGTGTGGCTATTTAATTGAAATTTTCACTTGTCTCAAAACATCAGCAAATTAAAGGACTTTCAAGTAGAAAAAATCCTCATAAAAATATCAAATTTATATATCATTAGTGAAGCAAGAGCAAAACAGATTCAGCTGTTCTAAAAAATTAAGACACACACACACACACGAGTAAAAACTTCTTAGATTTTTTTTTTTTACCATTCAGGATTTTTTTAAAAACATGTCTGGTCCCTCCCTGTCACTCCAGATTGCATAGTATTTATTAGTGTGATGCTTTTCATATTACCTTGACTTTCTATTGCTTCATTTTCAGATGTTTCAGTCTAGCAGCACTCTTTGCAGTCAGCACTGGCAGACTTAGCTCTGCATCAACAGTTCTATTACTCCCATTTCTTTATTTTTAAAATAAAGGCAGTAAAGCAAAAAAAGAAATGAGAGCATGTTTCATTACTCAGCTATTCACTTTTGTCTCTGTGTTGAAAAGTTTACAAGGAGCATCAAGATGGGGGTTGGTTGTGTATGAAAGCAGTGTGGATGTGAGAAGTACAGGTACTGATACGTAGTGAAAAAAATGATGGAAAATGATGGGTCTGTTCTAAATCTGGTCCTCTTACAGAACAAAGCAAACCATCAGGCACTTTTTACCTTTCACATTCTCATTTTGGAGGTCTTGAAAACATGATCATTTTTACAAGAGTAAATAGAACTATTCAGCATTTCTCATCCTGCACTCAACACTGTTTACCTATGACACCTGTCATCATTAGAATACGTACTTTGCATCTTCTTTTAAAAGGTCACTGTACTTTGGTCCAGAAGAACGGATGTTAAAAGGATCAGAATTATCATCTATTTCAAGAGCCTCAGCAAGACGCCTACATTTGAGGGTAGGAGGGAAAAAAAGAGAACATAACAAAAATGCAATCAAGCAAAAATAAATACACTAATCCCCCCAGTCTCCCAAACATGTTGTCATTGAAGAGTACAGATATGGGTTACTGATACACATGCACAACTTGCAAAATGGAGTCTTGTACATTTGAAACTACTCAGGACTTTTCACTAGAATATTCTAGTAAGATCTCAGACCACTCAGTACATATCCCTATAATATAGGAATCATCTCCACATTTATCAGTTCTTTAGGTCATGCAGGAAAGGGTATTTTTTTTTTAAACACATAGCATTAACTTTCTGAACTTGGGACATCTGAAAAAAAGCAAGTTCATTACCCACCTGTTCCTCTGAAGAGCTAAGCATTCTTCATCACATTGCAATCTGAATTATGAAAGAAAAATACAATTAGAATTGCTGTTGTTACTCATACTTTCCAAACTGTGATTTGTTAGTGTCATGTTATCACTGCCTAAAAGAGTAAAAAGAGTGTGTGAGAATAGTTTGTTGTATTAGATGATATAATACAGCTAAAACCAAACAACAACCAAAGATCTTTGAGACACAAGACCTTCTCCAGGTCTTTAACAGAAGCAGCAATTACCAAAGCCACACAGAAGCTGAGAAAAACAAATTCTGAATTAGATTATACTGGTAAACCAGATAATTTGAAGGAAAAAAATATGCAGTTGGTAACAGCACTGAAGGGATGCTAGGAAGGATGTGAAATTAGCAAAGGAAGATGTGACAAGGTCACTTCTGTGCATCAGAAAACAAGAGGAAAGTTAGCTATGGAGGATCATACTGCACCATAAAAATCAGTATTTCAACTGAGCCATGACTTCTAGTGCCAGTGGAGTTATGAATTTCAGTTTTCTGTCTCATTTTTGAAAGGTATTGTATTTTCTTAAGAGATAAAAATCTCAGAGAAAGATCAAGATTTCTCTAGAATTTCACAGTTGCAGTTACAAACTACTGCCCTTAGACTGCATAAGTGCGTTCATTCTGTTGATGATAGTTCCTTGATTCCAAATAAATAATTCCTACAAGGGAAACTGGTTCATTCAGTGACTTGTATAACGTTTGGAGACACACAGCTATAGGATCCAGAACTTCTGGTGGGTTTTTTGGAGGCAGAAGAAAGCTAACATACTTGCATTATGAGATCACCCTGTTACTGTTTAGTATCATTTGTGGAAGAATTATTTTTTCCTCCTCTAAAAGAGGAATGTAGCCAATTTGGAGAAGCTACTCCAGGACTGATCAAATTTGTCACAGAAAAACTCCCAAACCCTAATAATCTAAACAAATTAAAGTATAAAATGTCTCCAGATAGGACCGAAGAGAAAAAAAGAAAGGAAATCTGTCTGATTTGCATAAAATATTTCTGAACAATTTGCATAAAGTATTCTGCCACTGTAAATGAAGCAAGCAGATTTATAATTTACTTTGAAAATAGTGGAGTTGAACAATAAATTAGAAATTTAAGAATAAATATTTTATGTGTCACCATCTCTTTTACCCCCCAGCCCAGTATTTGGTAGATGAAGAGAGCAGGGAAGTAAGAATACTTCCCTTGATTGTCCTTGAATGAAGGCTACCTGCCACAGTTCACATATCATATCAGGAAATATTTCCATGAAAAAAAGTAATCTCTGGTAATTTCAACTATTCAAGGAAAGGGCAGCATAAGTCTGCCCACACAGAAAGGTGTGCAGCAGTGACTACAACACAACTTATATCACATGCTGCAAAGTCTGGGATACCAACAGACACCGGTATCTCAATTGCTCATATATCTGTTATGACAGACCTGCAGCTTCAGTAGCTGAAAAGGTCACTCCCTCTGCTTCTACCACACCACACCTCCATCCTCCCCCACTGAGTTCTAGCACTGCCAAATGGTTGTTTTCTTTAAACAGTGACTTTATTTTGAGAACCTGAAGTTGGCTTCATATTGTTGAGTATATTTGCATCTGGTTGGCATTGTGATACAAACAGGAATAAAGTAGTTGAGGCTCAAGCTGGGTAAAGCAGCGATTATTCTACAGACACATTCTAGGAGACAAAAATTAATGCTTTATTGTACATTTCTGAGTATTCAATTAATTGAAACAAACAGGGTAGGCTAAAAAAAAAAGACACAATTACCGTTTCCTGTTTGTGTCTTATACCATGCTTATATAGTACTAATACCACGCTCTTTGAAGTTGCATGCAGAGATCAGTACAGATCTCCCTCTTACACCTTGTCTTTCCCCCCCCATCTTCTGAAGTATGACAGTGGCCCAACTAGAATGAACCTGGAGACTGGGAAGAACAGGTGCTCTCACACGTCATTTCTGGTGCTAGTTCACCTTGCCCATACATTCAGAGTCAAAATTATTTCAGTGTAGTACATTATCCAAAAATGACTTGGTAATAACATGCTACAATTCCAGACATTACACAGATAAGCAGAACAGAATTACTAGCAAAAGTTCTTGAAGTATGCTGGTAGTAGCTTTTTATACAGGAACTCATGAAGCAGCTGTATGGGAAATTTCACTACTTTCACTATACATAATATAAAGGAAAGTTAGATTTTTAACACATGTAACAGACTGATTCTGCAATAATCAAATTCACAATTAAGAGAGAGTAGAGATGGTAAACGAAAATAAACTAAACCCAGAAATCAGGGACTTCAAGGGCAAATACTTCAGAAAACAAGTTTCTGCCAGAAGGATATTGGAAAAACTTGCCAATTCTTTGAAGAAATGATACTAAAAGTAAAAAGACACACTATTCCAATCCTGAGGAACATCAGGAGTAGAAAAATCACCAAACTTAAGCCATAAGCGCTTTTGTGACTTAAAAGCAGATTTTCAGTGCTAGCCAGTATGAGAACACAGACACACCAATGAAATTGAGATATAAATGTAAGAAATCTAAAAAGAGTAATAAAAAAATACTACAAATTTTAACATAATGATTAGAGGAAAATATGCCCTATTAATCATCCAGGAAGGAATGATGGATGCTGGAACAGAAGGTAACAGCAAAAAGTTAGTGTCTAGAAATCGGAAAAAAAAACCCGTAGGAACTCTAAGGAGTTTGCTGGGTAGGAAAACTTTGAAACCACAATTATATTGTTCCTTACATAACTGTAACTACAAACCAGCCAATGACAGATGACTCATTCTACATGAAAGCAAAACCCTAACCCACTAAAGGAATTGCACAATTCTCTTTTATCAGTATTGTTACAGCAGAGACAGGTTATCTAAAGTCTTCCTATTTTATCCCACAATGGTATTTTGCTCACAATATTATGTACTTTCCACATCGTCTATGTTTCAGGTACACACAAGGGTTTCCAGTATGTTTTTAACTGTATCTCCTTACCTGGCCTGCTTCATTTCTTTTTTTGTAATAAGCCTACTGATTTCCACTGAATCTCCAAGCTGTAGATCTGTTAACTTAGTGGCTATAGATATAGCAGCTATTCTGAAAAAGAAGACCATTAGATTTCATTTGAGGCCACACATAAACATTTGAAAAGGTGTATAAAGCTGCAGATTTAAACCTCCAAGTGGAAGACGACAGACAGTTTCCTCCTCAAATTACAGTATGAGACTCCAATTCCACAACACCTAGTTTTAAGTATCTAATCTAGCTACATAAATTAAGGTTACTCTCATCTCCCTCAAGCAACTAGAAGCAAGACTAACAAATGGACATACTTCTTCAGGGAATTTTTCAAAACATCAATTCTAAGCAAGTCTAAACTAGGCAGTGCAAATATTCTCTCTTCTCACCTGCTTAATATTCAAACTACAGCTGACTGTATAGCTTTAATTACCTTTTTAACTTTTATGTGATTCTTCCTTAACTGTGTGCAACTAAAACGTGTAAAGTGAATTTAAAAAGTACTTAGAAATCTGCTTAGAAAATGTTGATGATATAAGCCCTAAGGAAAAAGCAAAATACCCCTATTGAGACTATTACAATTTTCTTTATAAAGATTCTTCACCACTCCCTTCAATAACAAGCCTTCCTGGTCTGATTTTCTTGCTAAAATTTCTTTAACTAAAATATACAAGTTTTTAGTGAAATATCCCACATCATTCTCAAACAAAATCCTGGAAATAGAACATTCTATCCTCTGAATCATTTTTTCCTGTTAAATTCATATAAAAGGATATGCTTGCCTCTATGTTTTGCATCACATTCAGAGAACTAGTCATCTACCAGGATGGAGGATAATCTGCAGCTGATGACACCAAGCTGTGTGGTACAGTCAACATGCTGGAGGGAAGGGATGACATCCAGAGGGACCTGGACAGGCCTGAGAGGTGGGCCCATGCGAATTTAATGAAATTCAACAAGGCCAAGTGCAAAGTCCTGAAGCTGGGTTGGGGCAATCCCAAGCACAAAAACAGGCTGTAGGATGGGTGCACTGAAAGCAGCCCTGTGGAGAAGGACTTAAAGGTACTCGTGGATGAAAATTAAATATGAGACAGAAATGTGTGCTTGCAGCCCAGAGAGCCAACCGTAACCTGGTCTACATCAAGAGAAGTGTGACCAGCAGGTTGAGAGGTGATTGTCTCCCTCTACTTTGCCCTTGTGAGACAGTGATTGGAGTACTGTCTTTAGTTCAGTGTTAAGAGAGACATGGACCTGCTTAAGTGGGTCCAGAGGAGGCCACAACGATGATCAGGGGACTGAAGCACCTCCCCTATGAGGACAGGCTGAGAGAGTTGGGGTTGTTCAGCGTGGAGAGAAGGTTCTAGGGAGACCTTATCGCAGCCTTCCAGTACTTAAAGGGGGCTACAGGAGAGATGGGGAGGGACTCTTTAGCAGGGAGTGTGGTGACAGGATGAGGGGTAACTTTTAAACGGAAGGAGGGCAGATTTAGATTAGCTAGAAAGAAGAAATTCTTCATTGTGAGGGTGGTGAGACACTCGAACAGGTTGTCCAGAGACGATGTGGCTGCCCCCTCCCTGGCAGTGTTCAGGGCCAGGTTAGATGGGGCTTTGAGCAACCTGGTCTAGTGGAAGGTGTCCCTGCCCATGGCAGGGGGTTAGGAACTATATCATCTTTAAAGATCCCTTCCAACTCAAACCATTCTATGACAACTCAGTTTGCATATTAAGAACTGAGAGTTAAGATGCCAAAGCTCTCCTGCCTAAATTTAGCTCTTTCAGAATTACTTTAAATTACTCTTTAGCTTCCATCATCCAGATGGACTAGGTTCCATCACACATTAAAGGAAACTTAGCAACTCACACATGGATCGCTATTTGCAATCACCTATATTCAGAAACCTGAATCTGGACCTGCCCAATTATTCTGTATCTAATTGCTCTACGTGGGTAGAACAGAGTTCCATAGATGGAAGATTCAAGCTTTGACACACCACCACAGTTAGACTAACAATGATAAAAAGAGGAATGTTCAGGAAAATATAAAAAAGAAACCATGTGAAAATACAAAAAAACCCGAAAAAGCTTGTGAATTGAATATATTCAGTCAAGCCTGAAATTTAATAAAATGGCAAAGAATTAAGTCCAGTAACTAACTACAAGAATTATTACAGTACAAACCTTTGATATGTATTAGATGCTTCTGAGCAAATCATACTCTCCTTTCTTCTTCCACATTCACATTGAAGATCAACCTGTTTTATCACACAAGAGAGCAGCTTTTTAAAACTTCCGTCTTTTTATGGCCATGCAGGGATCAAGGCAGGTAATTTTTTTCCTTTATAAAGTCCCATTTTAGTAGAATTACAGCTAATTAAAAGTGATGAATAAGGTGGTTTTTTTTTAAATTCAATATTATAAGTTTATGGAAAAAAACGTCATGCTATCCATGTGCAAACATGTCTCTGTCACAACAGTTACTGGCTGATAATTAAACCATAAAACTGACAGTGAATTTTCTTTGGGTATCTGACCTTTGCGCAGCAGGATGTTGTTGGACAGGGTGAAGAAGGATGACACGGAGCCATACAGGGATGATTACAATATAGCCTTGGAATAGTACATGGCTGTTTACACTCTTCATCTATAAGACATTCTCCTTTATGACAGATTCTTTTACATTTGTGCATTCCACATTTTAACATTTGATTGCAGCGAAGTCCACAGGAAATGTCAGTGAGATGACAAGGAATATTACTTCGCAGCTGGAAGAGAGGAGGAAAAAAGATGACAACTAAAAATGAAATATTATAAATGCAAATCTCAAAGTAGTTTTACTGTTCACACCTGCACCGTCCATGAGAGAATACTACTACTATATCATCTTAGGACAAAGACTGAGCTTTTCCTTATATCATAGTCCAATATAGCAGTTGGTTTGAATGTGTATGGCAGAAAAGATACATTTTTTTAATTTAATCACATTAAACTCAAACTCCAGTAACATATTCCATTCCAAAGAGGTCACAAAAATCTAGACCTACAGTCCTAGAACATTATTTAGTATTCAATAACATTAAATGTCCAGACTTACTTCGTGTTTGCCCATACACCATTTCTGAGTGAGATAAGTACAGGGTGGACATTTCTCCTCACTGTGACAGGAATGGTACACTGCAGTCACAGAAACATAAAAGCCAGCACAATTTTATTAGTATACCTCAATTAAATGCATTAAAGGAGACAGTAAAGACCATTAAACAAGAGTTTGCATTTCAGAACTACACAATTTATGTGCAGATAATTTTGTAACCTCTGAGTAGGGTTATACTATCAGACAGTTTGTCAGAAAACACATCTGTTTGACCTGTGCTATATTTTTTGTGATCAGCTAATGTAATTCCAAGGAATGTAGAAATGAACTGTACACTAGATTATCCTACAGTTTCAATAGAGCACTTAATCTTCAGAATACACTATTTAGTGTATTGTGACTATTAATAACAATGGGAAACAAACCCCAATGGTTTTGCCAGTCAGAAGTACCTCTACTAATATTCTTGACGAGTTTTAAGTTGGTTGGCTTTTAAGGGTAGACTTTGGGAAATATTCAGATCTACTGGAAGAACAGCTAATAAAAAAGCTAATATATTTTGAAACAAATTTGTGTACACTTTTTAAAATTTTGTTAAAAAGTAAAAGAAACAAAATACCCAAACCTGACTTACCTGGATGATCACAGTCATGTGGCCTGGTGCATGTCTTTTTACATTCTGGTGGCTGAGTGCCACAGGGGACAGGGGGGTAAATCACAGATTCACCACAGTAACAAGTTAACTCGTCAAAACCTGAAAAAAAACAAGTCAAATATATGCTAGTAGCTACATGTATTATGACTATGATCACTCATTAATAATTATGCTTGCTTTTAGACAGTGGTTCTTTGACAGCAACACTTTGAACTGGAGCAAGAGAAATGCTCATGACAAGTTGAAAGCTGTTGCTGTTCTATCTTTGACTTAAAAATGATATCTCTTGAATTCCCTTCCAGAAAGCACATCATCCAAATCTTGTGTTCCAAACTTCCCCCATCATCACTTTGTCAGACCAGTAGTTAGATTTTGTCCTGTTGCCAAACCCTGTACATGGTACCAGGAAGATTCCAGAGAGAATTACCAGAAGGCCAGCAGTCTGTAGACTTCTTCATATAATTTCTTCTGTATACTACTTTATGTCATTTAGTATTATATATATCCTCATAAACACCTTATTAACCTGTCCAAATACTTCAAAGCAAACTTTGTATGTTCTAGAAGTTCTCTGTCTCAGGCAGTATATGTTTCCCCACCACACACACATTTGGGAAACAGATTTTAAACTCTAATCACAAGATTCCAAATCTCAGTGATAAAATAAACAAAGAAATAGAAATACTTACACACCCCATCCCAACTAAAACTTAACACTGCACAAAAATTAACACTGTTCACTGCTGTTTTTCAAAACAAAGAAACTGGGAGGGAGACCAATTAGAATGCAAACTACAGTTCAAACAGATAAATACTTAGAAAAACAGGACACTAAGAGAAAATACCAACATCACAAGTCATAGAAGGAGGTCTGAGAACTAATAGAGAGTATGATTTTTCTATAAATGAAGAGATAGTGGATCAGAGAGAACAGGAAACAATGATGGAAGAGGTAAAAAAAATAATGGGGCAATAAAAATACAAATCAACAATTCTAACCTGAAGAGAAGATGAGCGTGTTAAGGGAGATGCTGAATTCAGCAAGTTCTCTGACTCTGGGAATCACAGGATTCCTCCTTCCTAATCTACCAAAGCAAAATCCATTGAACTCTAAAATCTCAAAGGTTCCTACTGTTCAACTTCCATGGATACGATGGCTGCTGGATCAATATGCAGGTCCAGCCAGTACCAAGACTGAACACACATTTCAGAGAGACAAGATACACAATACATACATGACAATAACATGATCAGACACATAGACTAACACAGGGACAACTGAACAAGATTCATGTCAACAGGAATACCAATAGCCAAGTCCTCCTCCTCCTCCTCCTCTCCAGCTCAGCAGGATTGAAGATCACTGGTGAAGACACACTTGCATACACTCTAGATTCACATGCACACCGCATTTGTGGATCTCAAATATTAGCATAGGCTCTGTCTAATATCCATACCTGGACAGACCCAATACCCAGTCACTGAATGAAAGCTTGGGTATTTCCAGAGGCAGATCTCTGACTAGCCAGTCAGTCCAGCTCTGAAACAAGTTCCTTGCCAAATTACCCAGACATACACAGGACTGAAATTAACAACAGAATCACACACACCCCCTTCATCTCTCCAGGTACTGGCACCCAGATCAAGGGGCCCCTCTAAGTTATGATCCCATTCTCCAGCTGCTGGCATACACTACAGCAAGTCTATTTGGTCTCTTCAGTTGTTGGCATAGAGATTATGTGCTCCCATGACCTGCAGTCAAGTCTCCAGCTGCTGGCACTTAAACTTCTTACACAAAGAAAAAAGAATGAGATTACACTGACAGATATTAAGTCTTATTCTTAACTAGGACAGGATAGACAGTTGTCATCAGGTGCACAGGATGCGCTCTACCAGAGTTCTGCACTGACCAGCAGCTTCATTTGTACAAATGGTGCCTTTTATCTCTCCTTCTCTCAATTTTCCCATGCATTCACCTCAGTTTCTCCCAAATAATCTACCAAAATAAATTTCTCCCCATTGGTCCCAGTTTATGTACATCTGTACCCAAATCTGCTATTTTTGGTATCATTAGCGTGGTCATCCCAGCATCACAGAACTACCCAAGTTCTGTCTGCCTTGCAATATTTCACTCCTAGAAAGGCTCCCAATACCTCCCTCCTCCAATTACCCGTGAAGCTCAGTCATCTCTCACCCTTAACATCTGTGAAAACCATCCATTCCTCACAGCACTATTTGAAACTTCTGTAAGCTTTTCACTGGGCTTTTTCTTACGTTCAGAAATTTCTCATGTCCAGCTGTTTTTTATCGTCTGTTCAGGCCCTTAAATTTCAGGCCGGGTCCTAGACATCTACCCATGTATCTTAGAGAGCAGCAGTTAGTAGAAAGAATTGTAATTTTTGTCTAAGGAGACTTAATTATAATAAATTCCAGCAAGTAAGAATGCTGGGGAAAACAAAACATTAGGAGTTACAAGAAAGAAGTAGAAGTAGATAAAGCTGAGAACTTTCAGAACATCCATGGATTTTCTGTGGAAAGCAAGCACAGAAAAAGAGTAGGGCTTTTGCTGTCCCTCACTAAAGGTCTTGAAACAACCTATAACCCTCCAGGCTGTAAAGTCCCAAGTCTTCCTTGGTCAACGAAGATTAAAGATCAGAGACCAAGGTCCCTGGAAGACCTGAACGTTACACAGCTATACCGGCTGCTTGCTATTGATAAGAAGTGGTAGGTGAAGAATCATTAACTATAATGAAGTTTCCTTAACTAGCACTAATCAGGATAATGGAGAGGGAGCACAGAGAGGTCAGATCAAAAGAGTAGAAATACAACATCTGACAACTTTAAACAAGAAAAGATCTATCTAATGCTGACATAATTAATTTTTGCTAAGAGATGTACTGCTCTGTTAAAGTAGACAGGTGTGTATAAAAAGACCCTGGCATAGAAAGGGACCTCACCTCTCAGTACTGAGGAAATGACATTGGAAGGTAAAGTACCTGGGAAGCAATCAGAACCAGAGATGTAGATGCACTCTAGTATTGCATCTTGATGTCAGCCCTCACCACACCCAGCAAAACCAGAGTGGAGATGGAGGCAGAGGCAAGAAATCCAATCTAATGAATGGCAGATGCCTTGCAGCCACACCGTGCCACATGATACCATGGCTGATGCAGCCCAACTGCAATGTGGTGGCTAGACAGCTGGATCAGAGACAAGGATGGTCATCTTAGGGCTGAGAAGCATTCCACATGAGCTACAGGGTCAGAATCACGTAAGGTATGCCCCTAAAATCCCAACTAGCAGCGTCCAGGGAAAGCAGGTAAGAAATCTTTGAAGATACTGCTTAGTTAGATGATTTATCTCTGGACAGATACAGAAAGGGAGACTTTAGAAACACAAAGGTTTAAGCCAAATGATCATAAGTATCTGGTTCCTTGAGCTGATTTTCCTGTGCTCAGAAAAGGGCCTCTCTGCAAAATTTTAGTAGTGAAGCTTGACCTTTCAATTGCATCACATCCAATAGTGGAACAATTTACCAGGGAGGCAATCCTTAGATCTCTCCAGGAATCAGAATCTTGGGTCTGAGAGTGAAATACTGCAGCAGTGTGGAGAAGTTTAATGATACTGGAGATCAAGCCCATGAAATCCAGTAAAAAAAAAACAACTGCTCAGAAAAATCTGTGCATTTTGACTCAGCTAGACCATAAGTTACTAACAGGACCTCTGAGACATTCAGATTACTGTTTTGCTTTCTCAAGAGAAATGTTTGGACACAGAAATATTAATTTTTTTTAAAAGAGAGGTACAGTCAGCATGCACATCATATTCATAGGCCATTATGACAGACTACAATGCTATTTCAACCACAGTGAGCTTTAAAGGTTCTAGTACCTTCACTTTTCCAGGATGTTTCCATAAAAATGGAGTTCTTTCACTATGTCCATGGGCATATGATATGAGACACAGGTACTACTGCAGCTAAGACACTTCCAGCTGTAAAGAGTATCCTTACAACATACAACACCTGTCTGTCTCCTTTTCACTGATGTCATGAGGTCTGGTTCACATTTTCAACATCTCACTGTCCTCTTTCCCACATTCTAGTGAGCAGTTCCAAAGCAGTACTCTGTTTCTGAGAGAGAAGACTCACTTTTCTCCAGGAGTGACTGTAGAACTACTAGACAAAAGACAGTATTTGATGAAAGCCAAAGGGGAACTACAGGTGAGTACTTCTATTCCATTCTTGAAACACTGTCCCCTCACAGTTTTACTGTAGATTACAGCAGATGCAAAAATAAACCTAGAATTCACAGCTTCAAGAATGAACGATGATGGATTTAAAGAAAACGTCCAAACTTCTTAAGAAAATACTGAGTGGAAGGATGGATACAAACTGGAAAATCCATTAAGCACTTTTTCTGCCCAACTTTCAAAAATTGCATTTAATAAATAGCTTATCATTTCTGTGATAAGCTGTATCTATAAAGAAAGGGGAAACCTATATTAAAATATGAGACTGAGAAAAAAACCCCCAAACATTAAAATGCTATCACATGCAAAGATGTTCCAGATCAACTAAAGATTTTGCTAGCAGAAGGAAACATAGCAGCATTCCTCTGTCTGCTTCAGGCCCAAACCAGAAAATTTAGTACTATCTACATATTATAATGGTGCCAACATATGGTACCTTACATCAAGTGGTAAAAAAGAACTAGTAGAAAACTAGTATTACTCAGCTGGCACAGTTTTTTAATAGAGTACATACCTGTCTAAAGCTATTGCATCAGCTTAAGTCTTTAAATAGTTCAGCAATCCTAAACAAATTAATACCTGCTGGCTGTCAATCTATTTCTAGCAATTCAGTACTAATTTTCACAATTCAGAACGTGACCAGATAGCCTAAGACATACATGACTGACATATCTTATTTCTTCAGATGGTTCTGTCCAGAGAAAAATCACTAGTGTACCAAGTTGGGAAAGTGTGAATTCTAAGCAGCTGAACAAATTCTGAACATCTTTAACAACTATCACATTGTTAAACAAGAGTTTTGTTAACTTAGAAATTACCTTTCTAAACTGCTTTTTTTCCTTGCGTGATTCCTCAAGTTTTTTAAGTGACTGCTGGATCAACACACATAACTGAATATATTTCACTGTAATTCAATTTTAATTTAAAATTCACCACTTAAACTCATCTAGAATTAAATAACATTCTCTTTCATGAAAAAAAATACAATCAAAACAAACTGCATATTCTTCAGGTTCTGGTCAATTTGGATCTCATTCTCTGACCAACTCTGACCAGTTAAGTGAATAGATTTCTACAATAAATAAGGTACTCTTGTGCACATAACTCACTTGTTTGCCAGCATGTTTGACAACTGCCCCGATGACAGGGTTCTTCACACCTATGAAGCCCACAGTTGAGTTTACGACCACAAACCAAAGAACACTTATGTTCTGTGTCCTAAGGGAATGCAAAGAAGAAAAGCAGAATAAACCATAAACACCATTGGCTTATTTTTCTCCGTGAGGTCATAATGTACTCAATTGAACAAAACGTATAGTGCAAAAAATAGCTTAGGCCTGATCTATACAGTTTTTCCATCACTGTATAGATACAGTTTTTAAAGCAGATTCTGTTAAGACCTCTGTTGCAGCCATGAATACATCATATCTTACGCTTCTTATATTAAGTAATATCCTTCCCCTCCCTCTTCTCCCTGGAATCACTGCACTGAAGAAAAGCACCTTTACAACAACTTAGTTGCATATAGGCAGGAACATGGTTTTGCATTTACAGTGGCACCCATAGAACAAATGCTGCAAAATAAATGCACACACATAAACTTTTTGAACATGACCAATACTGCAAATAGAGACATAGAATCACAGAATGGTTTGGGTTGGAAGGGACCTTAAAGATCATCTAGTTCCAACCCCCCTGCCATGGGCAGGGACACCTTCCACTAGACCAGACTGCTCAAAGCCCCGTCCAACCTGGCCCTGAACACTGCCAGGGAGGGGGCAGCCACAGTCTCTCTGGGCAGCCTGTTCCAGTGCCTCACTACCCTCAGTGTCCTATCACCATGTGCCCTTGTAAAAAGTCCCTCTCCAGCTTTCTTGTAGGCCCCCTTTAGGTACTGGAAGGCTGTGGCAATAAGGCCTCCCAGAGCCTTCTCTCCTCCCGGCTGAACAACCCCAACTTTCTGCTTGTCTTTACAGAAGATGTGCTCCAAAAATGGAAAGACAGAAAAGCAAAAAAATTTTTTAACATCACAATCAAAACCAAACACACATCACAATGGACAATTTTATAAAACAATACGTAAACCTACCACACAGCAAACTTCATTACACTTGTGTCGTCCACATGATCTTTTCTTGTTGCATCGCTTGTCACACATGAATGTAATAGCAGCTATGAAAAACAAAAAAAACCCAAAACCAGTCATAAGTTGTCTTTGCTCATGCTGAGAAAAAAAACCTGTGATCACAATATTATGTTAAAACTGTTGCAGAGCATGGCCTAGAAAAGACTAATATGAAATAAGTCTCTAGTAAGCAAACAAATTAGTTGCTCTCCAACATTAATTGCCCATGTGAACAATTGGCTTCCTTGAAATAAAACTCTTGTTCAAAAGGATTTTGGAGAGCAGAATACGTGTAACTCATTTATTTCACATTAGTCTTTACACCATAGACACCGTACAACAGAACACAGAAAGCAGGATATCCTGATACACTGGAGTACCATAAACATCCAATTTAAGACTGCTCATATAGGTAAGGCAGTATAAGTCAGCTAAATACAACGACTGCTAATATACTCATGAAACTAGTGCTAACAAAGAACATCCTTAACATCACACACAGGTCACAAAACAATCACTTTGATTCTGAAGAGCAAGGTCTTCGTAGAAAAAAGCTCAAATTAGTAAGTATGCCTATTACCTCCTTATGTATCTTGAAAATAAGTAACTCAGTATGACAGAGGTCCATCAAGTAAGCATTTCACAAAAGGTGAATTTTGAGATGCTACATCCAGAATACCAAGAAGTGTCAAATGGGAACTCTCTGCCAAGCTCAGAAGCAAAGACCAGCAGAAGCAGAATCAAAGCTTGTATTTTCTCCCAGGAACTTGGACAAGAGCAGAGCAGAAGCATTACTTCACATGAGAGCTGTGCAAGTTGACCTAAAGATATGCAGGATGCCGGGGGGGGGCAACCTATTGAATATGGCAGGTGACATGAGAGACTGTTCAAATTGAAATAGACTGCTTGTCTGGAATCTTCAAGACGAAATGCTGAAGAAGTCTTTCCTTATATAAAAGATGAATAGAAATTAAAGGTTTAGTTCAAACATCTTCCCAGAAGTAGCAGCATCTCAAGAAATTACCAACTTGGAATAGAAGTATGGATAAAAGAAGCAGTATTGATCAAATGTTTGCCAACTTCGTCACTCAAACCCAAAATTAATATGACTTGTGCATAATTTTTTTTTTAAAAACAATTTCACATTATATATGTAACATAACACTGTACCTTTATTTCTGAGGAGAGCACATGGGACTTCCTAGGAAACAAACAGCAAGCCATTATGTTAAAACAGATGGAACAACTGAAACTTACTTATCTGGAAAACACTTAGTCACATGATACAGAAAGAAGCAGCACACTCAGTTTTCACAGGTGTAACACTTCTGTACACAGAAGTGAAACAAAAGCTGGAAAAAAATCCTAAAAGCTTTTAACACAATACTTTCTCCTTAAAAGATTCAATACCAATTAAAAAAAAATGTAGTTTTGTATTCACCACTTTGTTCAGTAGATAAAGGTTTGTCCTACAATACCAGAAACTCGTATGCAGGAAACCAAGAGCTCTCCCACAAAACACTGACAGAGTGCCTAAATTTGTGTTTTGACCAAATGTCCCAAAAATGCAAGTGTTACTTGATTAAAAAAGAAAGACAGACTGAAGTAAAATCTCACAATCAAAGAAGCTTTACCTAGCTTAAAGACCTCAACATGAAAATAAAATGTGATGGATGAAAAGAACACTGTTGATCAACTACATTCAAACCTTCAGTCATCACAACTTTATATTCCAAGCTGTCATTTCTGAGCATCACATTTTTCATGACTGATTGAAATTATCACTGTACTTCACTCCTACCAGAAAGATGCTTCTTAGAAAAGTATCTATCAAGCTGCATAAACTAAAAAAACCTCACTACTTTGTTTCAAGCCTCAAAATGAAACTATCTGAAGCCTTCTACCCTATAACCACCATCAGTAAACTTGCAGCAGAAAACTGTTCCAACCTTAAAGTCTCAATCATTTCTATGTACTTATAGGCATATACATTCAGAAGCCACTTCTACTTGTAGATGACATAACAGGTCAGAAGGCTCATATGACAGTAGACAAAGATTTTAAACCTATGATTACAGAAAGTAACCTATTTTAAAGAATATATTAATTATAAAACAACTGCTGAGAATCTGCTGGGTCACTATACATATGTACAAAGAATGGGTACCAATAAAAAACTTCATCTTCTCTCAAAAATTCTACGACAAATCTGCAAGCTACTAGTATAAATTTTTAATTAGCTGATGTTATGCTACTTTTTTTTCCTCTTCGTTTACATTATTCTTTTTAAAACTACCATTCTTTGTGCTATATAAAAACTGCAGGATAACATAGGACTTTGCAGCCAGTTTAAACAGAATTCTGCATAAGTGCTGCAAAAATACTTCCAAAGATTGCCTTCACAGTAAGTAGCCTATATTAGCATTTCCCAGTATAATCCAGTTAATATATAATAGTTCTTGCAACTAAGCAGCACAGCACCTCTCAGTAGCTTTTTTTTCCCTCAACTGAAGTAGTTCTTTTCTCCACAGCTTTAAAAAACAAAGATAACCTGTTTCCATGGTCAAGCTTTATACTCACCTTTTTTTTGAAGCCACATCTACAATAAATATTTGATGTGTGAGAACATGGTCTACAGTCTCCTTCATGGCAAAGGCTTTCACAGGTGTGAACGAACTCTAGCAAAATGAAAACACAAAGATTAACAATTAAAAAGAAAAATCCATGACCTGGAACTTGATATTTATTAGGAGCATCACTGGTCAAAACCACTAAGCTTATGTGCAGCTGGGTGTCCAAATAAATTAACTATTTGGAGTTAAATGTGCATAAAATCTTGCCATTATTTTCAATTTTTAATCATGAATCTATAGACTAGAGTTTCAGGTCTACAATTAACATTAAGAATGCATACATTTTATTATAAATAACTGGAATAAAAGATCCTGTGATACTATCTTACCCAAGTTCCAAGAATTTTAAGTAACTTTTTCTTCCTTTTCAGCCCAAAAGAATGACTTACTATGCACACCTTCATATTTCACTTACTAGGTTAACTGAAGCTCAAGTAAAAGCCAAGTTACTCATTCCTTTTCTACTTCCTGTCCTTGGACTGACAGAATGGATCAGTCATTATTAAGCAGCCCTCATCTTGACAGCACTGGTCTCTCTCCTCTCAAAAGTCTAAAAATCATGATTAAAGATGTAGCCTGTAAAACTGGAGCTTCACACAATCTCATAGCTGAATACACTTGAGTTACCTAATGCACTCATTGGAAGTGTCAAACTGCTTCTGCACCTAACTTTCTCTGAATTCCAACACTACTTTTTACTTCATGACCCTTTTACAGCAGCAGGAAATGAGTATTTACTGAAGGCATCTGAACAGTGATTTATCTCTATGAGTCTCCACATGAAAGTCAAAGATCTAAGTGGGCTTTTAGGAGACATCAGTACATACCACTCTGCAAATTCTTACAGCTCTATTCCTTTACCAATACAGGAAAGGTGTATGTAAACAAAATTTTGAAGTCTAGCTGGTGTTAGTGCTTTCTAGACAAATATATTTCCCGATTTTAAGTATCAATATAAACAAACAGATTGCAGGCTCTGCAGTGGCTTTTACACTCAGTTCGTATAAAACTCAGTATCACTAATCAAATATTTATTTATTGAAATGAAACAGTTAAAGTTCACTTTTTTCCTTTTAAAACAATTACATCATTTGGATACTCCGATGCAGAAAGGTCTAATTACCATAGCTACCACAAGAAAGAGGTTTGCCGCATGTTTTTCCACATGATGGTATAGGGTCTGTGCATATTTTACGTTCAACACATCCTAGTTCCAGTAACTTGCTGAGAGGAGTCTGACCACAAGGACAGCGATGAACTACTTGCGGAAGTCGTGGACAGAGCTGGCAAGGCTGAGGATGGCATACCTGGGTACAGTTGTGCCTCCCACAATTTAATTTTCTGGAAAAACACAGAACCAAAGAAATAAAACCCAAAACAAACAAAGAAAAATGGAATTATCTAAGAGTATCATGATCACTGAGTGTGAATAAAATGATCTTTTTTCTTTTCAAAATCCTAAATTATAATGACCTTACTTGCCACATATATTCTGACATGAGAAATTTCCAAATCCATCAGAGAATTCTTCCTTTGTCCCACACAATACTTCTTTAAAGTTGCTTCCACAGTAACACACTGAAAGAAATCAGTATTCCACAGAAAACAACACAAGAGAATATCAGTGACAAAACACTTCCAGCAGTACAGCAAATATAAAAAGGTAAAATGTGAAAAGTAGTTACAGTCAGTTTTTAGAAGGATAAGGAAGTAGTTCTTTAGATTTAATTCAGCAATAGAGGTTTCTCAGTCCTACAGAAGCTGGAATCCCTGTTTTGTTTGTTTCAATAAAGAGATAAAAATTCAAGGGGAAGTACTACATTCACAAAAAGCTTACTTATTAAAGCAGTATACATAAATTATTACCTTAAATTTGAGAAAATTAACTTGCAAATTTGTATATAAACTGTTCCAACAAAAATGTATTTGTATACTAGCACACATACTTGGACAATTTAATTTCCATTCAAGACCAGGTTTAGAAAATTTTACCAGAAACCATGAGTAGCTTGTTGAAATCTTATACTTCTTTGTATTCTTCTTCCATGTACTGTTTAATCAAGTCTCAGAATTACAGTAAAAAATTAATAAGATCATAGGACAATTCAGGTCAGAAGGGCCCTCAGGGGATCAGCTAATCCAAGCCCTTAATTAAAACAGAGTCAGCAATCACATCAGACCACGTTACTTAGTGTTTTATTCAGCTGGGCCTTGAAAATCTCCAAGTTTCCAAGAAGAATTTTTCCTTATAACACTTCAACTCATAGTCTCTCATCCTCCACCATGTACAGCCTGTCTATGTCTTCCTGATTACCTCCCATTAGCTGTTGAAAGGCCACACTCAGTCTTCTCAAGATAACAAACTTCAGTACCACCAGCGTGTCTTAATAGGGCACATATGCCAACAGCTTAATCATCTTGGCAGGATTCTTTCTAATCACACTCATTCTTATTTAAATATATAGCATTGCTGACACATTTTCCATTTTTTAAATATTCTACAAATAGATTTCGGTTTTGTTAAGTAAAAAAGCACTTGCCTCTTGGCACTATTTTTTTTTCCGCACAGTTGTTTTCGTATTATAGACTGGATATACATGAGGCATTTTCGTACTTACCTTGCTGTACTGTTAACTGGCAAGGTGAACATTTTCCTGCATGGCACACTTGAGTACAGCTGTGCTTACCACAGTTTAAAGTATTTCCACATACATTAGAACAATGAATTTTTGTTGATTGCCCACAGCGAACTGAATGACTGTAGAAAAATGACACCACAGTCTGTCAGTTACCTCAGTATCTATAAAGCACTTCTTAAAAAAGGAAAATACATTTTCAGTAAAATGCCAAAGACTTCGAAAGGGACCATAAGTTATTAATGAAAGGATTTTTTAGGAGATAATGCCACTAATTTTTCCCCCTGCTTCCCCTCTCCTACCTCCCTACAGTAGGACACTTGTCACAGTAGTGAGTCTACAGAATTTTCCTTCAACAAAATTGGAAAAAAAAAAGTTACACTAACCTTAACCTAATATTATGGTTATGAAAAGAGTTGGGTGTTTTAATTATTTTTTTAAAATAGGGACAATAAATTTCCCTTTTTTTTTTTTCCCCATTTTGGCTGGCCTTATACAATGACTGTAAATGTACATTTGAAATGGCAACTCTAAACCATCTTGAAGTCAGAGATGTCATACCATGTAATTTGAATGCTAATAAAGTACATATGAAAAAATACTATTTAGAAGTATTAAATGCAGTATTACAAAAATCAGCAATTTGATAAAAGTAGCTGGCATCTGGGAAAAAAAATTAAAAAGTTGGTGGCATCTACTAAACTTTTAAATGCAAGGAATAGCTATAATAAAGGTGGTGATCTCACTATGCAAAATAAAATTCAGTAATCTACAAGAAGTTTATTTTTCTACTGAAGACAAAGTGCTTTCAACTACAAATACTGTCACATTCTGAAAACCTTTTTTCTAGAGCAAGAATGCTAGCACAGAAATCACAGTCTGTTTTGGTTCTGGGAACTAGCATATGCAAACATTCTATTACACAGAATCAGTTCTAGATAGCTAGAACAAGGACTCTAAAGACTCAGAACAACTGAGTTATACAGGGAAGCCCAGATAGTATGGGCAGTACAGTCTTGCTGTTGGCAACTACACTATATGCATCAAACATGAAAGGAAAAGATAGCCTTCAAGTCTGGAATATACTAGAGACTTCTCTTTTCCTAGCAGTACAGCTTCCCAGAAATGTACATGGTATTTTTGAAATTATTATTTCTGAAATGGAGTAACTCAGTATTACATTCTGTTCAGACAGAAAAAGTGTGAAATTTTTCTGCTTCTTTCTTTCTCTGTCTTCTACAAAATAAAATAAATACTAGAATAGGATTTCAAAATCCAATCAACTCACAGACTTCTTGGACCACTTGGCCACATGTACCATAAATTGATGTTAACACTGACAATTCTTTTAATATTTTTTTTTATTAAAAGATTAAATGTAATTGCATTTTTTAAAGTATAAAATTATCCACATTATTGTAGCACACAAAAGTTACAGCTTAGAATCAAAAGTTTGTTCTGTAAACTTTTAATAAACTATTAGAAAGAAACATTTTATTAACCTTTAATAAACTATTCTTATATAAACTTTTGTTTGTATAATAGAAGCACTCTCACCTTGTTTGTCCACATTCACATGTTTTTGTCACAAAGGCTGGGCACGAAGGGCAAGGTCCTGGATGGCACAGGCTTAAACATAAGTGAAAAAAGCAAATAAAATTGTACAGTTAACTTTAGCTTTACTATACACCCAGAGAAACAATCCACCATGACCCAATCTGCAGTACGTTATCAGAACATTATACAAGCCACCTACACTCCCTGCAGGGTATGAAAGCGTTATTAGCACTAGCAAAAAATATTACCGTTGCATCAGTCTCAAATGTCATTGATGTTGAGAGAAACCTCAGTATTCTTGCTGCTGTCCAATCAACAGTAACAGTGCTATTAACACATTCCATATTTTGCATTTCACCAGCAGACACGTATCAACTCAACTGTGTTCATCACAGATAACACTCAAAACAAATATCACATGTCCAAACCATTTATACATTTCTTTCTTCAGCAATATTAAACAGATTAGAGACAAAAACTTCTCTACGAATTTCTTGAGTTGGTGGCTTTACCTTTGAACTCAGCATTTTTAACACCACCAGGAAGAGTTGTTGCTCCTCTTCCTGTAAGATAACGCGTAGGAGATGCAGCAAGTCTGCCTCAGTATTCTTTCTTAACATCAAGGGCAATTTCCTGCAAGTCTCATCAATGCCAGTCTTTTATTTGATTGTAAGATCTTACCTCCTACATCAAGAAACACTAGATGGTCCCTGTCTGCATATAAGACCTCTACTGAGCATAGAGAAGCTCAGGTTTGTGAAATTATACTTAACTAACTTGTCTGCACTCTTCCTTAGCCAGCTCCCAGTTCCCTTCCTTTGCAAATACAGCAACTCTCACTTTGAACAATTATTAGTGGCCAGGACTGACCAGTCCAGATGCCCTAGGCAAAAGAAAAAAACAAAAACCAAAACAGAACCACCAAAAAAACCCATAAACACAGACTACTCAATTACATGGTAATTACTAAATTCCCTCAAGTACAGTCACTATGCAAGTACTAATTAGCACACCAGTTACTACAGTTATATGCAATATAATTGAGTCATGTCAGCAGTTAATCAGCTGTGGTCTGGTTCCCTTCCTCCTGTAAAATCACTCCTCCCAGTTGACAAGAAGGCCTAATCTATCACTCAATTTATGCCAGCTCTAGTAGTAAAACCAAGCCATTACACAATAAACCAATCCAACACAAATTATCACCACCAAAAACAAAACCAAAAAACAAACCATCAAAGAAACCACAAACCTCGTTTGATAGGTCAGTTTTACAGCATAATGAAATGATAAATAAGCACCAGAGCAGGCACGAGGAAAGACAAAAGAGCAAAACTGGATGGAGCAGGGTAAATATGATACAAAGGAAAACACAAAGAAAGCAAACCCATTAAAACAAAACTGTATTGTGGAACTTCAGACAATGAGAATTAACTTACGTATTCTGCAACAGGAAACTTCTTGTAAAAGGTCAGCCCTATGTATTTCACTGTCTTGACTTCAAGACCCATGCAAGATTCTAAAGGCTAGATAACAGTTTCTAAATTTAAGAATCAGATTCAAAGTAGATATAAACTCAAAATACTACAATGAAGGTCGTAACTTGGAAAAGGGAGAAGACACATAATCTTCAGAAATCATGTCACACTGTTTTCTCCCTGGTATATTATCTTCCTCAACACTGTCATATTCAAGCACTGTTAACATTACTTCCATGAGACCAGTCTTGGCACACTTTCACACAACAGTTAAGATAGAAATTAAAATTTCATTGAGCGCACACACACACACAGAAAGTGCAAAAAAATTCTCCTTAGATGATAAAGATGCATGACACCTTAGAGTTCTAGTCTGTTTTAAGGGACTAAGCAAAACGTTTAGTTGAATGACTTAATACTGTTACAAACTACACTCAAAAAGACAGCCTTGTAGACTTCAGTTATTACCTTCAGTTCAGTGAATGTTGAGTCTTATTTTTAGTGAAATACCATTATCTATCATTATCATGGAGGATTTTTTTCACAATTTACTGCTGCTGCTCTAGAGAGCTGGCATACAATAAAAGCTGCAATCTAGACATAGGAAAAATTACATTTCCTTTTGCCTGACACTGAAAATAGATACTGTAAGACAGCCCAAAGGGATTTCCAGTAACTGGTGTGGAAAAAATTACAGCACCAAAGATCTATGAAAGATCAGATACTAAAATTTAAACTAGAGAAAGCTACAGAAAATTTTGTTTATTGACTTTGTAAGACCTTTTTCAAATGCTTTTAAGGCCTTGCATAGTTTCAGCTGGCAAGGAGAACTTCAGAGTCTTAAAAAAAGTTTGTCATGAAGTTTGTTATCTATCAGGAACATTTTCCTGAAGGTTAAGCAAGATGTTTCTTTGATGTAGAACCTAATGAAGAGAAATGAATTTCAGTGTGTTTAACCTAAAAATGTGAAGAGAACTCAACTTTGTGAAGCAAAAGGCTTGCAAATCACTTCCCTTTCGAACAGCTGCTTGCCTATTCCTCAGCTCTGCCAAGAGAGCTGTTTATATAAATGGTTACTAACCCATTTTCAGTAAATCTGAGCAAATAAAGATTTATTATTCAAACAGTGTAAACTTCCCTCACTCATTTTCACCAAAATAAGTGTGGCACTAGCTAGCCCAACACAAGCATCCAAACTAAACTCTACACCATGGAAAAGAGATTAACATAATGACAAACTTTTTTTAAGACTCTGAAGTTCTCCTTGCCAGCTGAAACTATGCAAGGCCTAATTGGCCAACCATTTAAAAATACATAAGCAAGGTTGGAAATTAAAAAAAAAACAACAAACAAACAAACAAACAACAAACTCCCAAAACATATGAATAACCAAAATACCACTTCAGTAGAAAATTATTTGTTCTGGTGGTATAAAGGAGATCAGCACATAACTGAGCTGGTTACAGACAACAGTAGGCTGAAGAACTGCTGTTATCTCTATGAGCTAATTTTCTGAATTCGACCACCAATTTCAGACATTCCTTACAAGTTGTTGTGGTTTAACCCCAGCCAGCATGTAAGCACCACACAGCCGTTCATTCATTCTCTGCCCTGGTGGGACCGGGGACAGAATTGGAAGAGGAAAAGTAAGAAAAATCATAGACTGAGATAAAGACAGTTTAATAGGTAAAGCAAAAACCAAGCACACAAGCAAAGCAAAACAGGGAATTAATTCACCACTTCCCATCAGCAGGCTCAGCCATCTGCAGGAAAGCAGGGCTCCATCATGTGTAATGGTGACTTGGGAAGACAAATGCCATCACTCCAAATGTGTCCCCTCCTTCCTTCTGCTTCCCCCAGCTTTATATACTGAACATGGTACCAATACAGTATGGGATATCCCTCTGGTCAGTTGGGCTCAGCTGTTCCAGCTGTGTCCCTTCACAACTCCTTATGCACCTTCAGCCCACTCACTGGTGGAGTGGGGTGACAAGCAGAAAAGGCCTTGACTCTGTGTAAGTACTGCTTAACAAGGAAAGCAACTCTGCATTATCAACACTGTTTCTAGCACAAATCCAAAACCTAGCCCCCTACTAGCTACTATGAAGAAAATTAACTATCCCAGCCAAAACCAGGACACAAGTGTAAAAGAGACATCAAATAATCTGAAAGGCATAACTACCAGGGTCACAAAACCTATGGAAACATAGCTCTGATTCAAACTGAAAATATATTGGATGACTCATTACATAATTTTAGACAGTGCTTAGAGACAAAGGCCTCAAAAAAGATGGTTCAACACTATGAAGTAGAAAACTATGACCAAACAGACCTTCACACATACAACACTTCTTGCCCAAACTTGGCCATCATTATCTCTCTCAACCAGGCCACAAGCTTTAATATCCTTCTTAAAAGCATCTACATGATGCTGAGAGCTCTAGACATTCTTATTACCCGTAACAGGATCTGATCTGTTTTGAGTCTTATTATTTGCATCAATTTCTTGCAAGGAGATGCCCTGCCTAGCAGCATGTATGTGATGCATTATGAATTTGCCACCTTCTGATTTAATTGAAGGTCTCATTTCCCTACTCGGACAACACAGCGGGTGTAAATCCCTATATTTTCAATGTCTCCTTAAGAAAAACGAATCACTCTACAAAGTATTAAAGGATCCAAATCTTTTCCCATGACTTTTAACCCAATTCTTTCTCCTCAGCAACAAGAGTCTGATGCTTACTCAGTTTTAAAGGGAAAAGAGATTCTCAAGTAACTTAATCCACTTTGATCTACTTCAACTTGCTACTTCATATTACATTAAGAATTGTGTAACCACCTAAGCAGCACAACTGGCACCACCAAAAGACTACAGTCACAGTCACATCGCTCCCACCAAAAGACTACAGTCACATCGCTCCCACCAAAAGACTACAGTCACATCGCTCTCAGAGCTGCTCATTCCACAGGGGACAATCAAACACACAAGCCTAGCATGTAGCTAACACTGTGCCTACAGAAGGCAGACAGCAGGAGAGAGGCTGAAGTTTAGGCCATCACCAACTATTAGAACAACTTACAACACCTCCCATACTCTGCAAATTTCATCTACATGGCAGAAGGAGCAAATACAAGCATCCTATTAAAAGCAATGAGAAATATGTTCATCTGATGTCACATATGAGGAGAAAAGGGGATGATGTTTGTTTGATCCTGGTAGCATCACATCAGATAGATGCAGTGTAGATACACTGAAACTGTAGATACACTGAAACAACTCAGACAATACTGCAATTCAGATTCTGTTGCTAGGCACTGCATAAATAATTCTGATATAAAAAGTCCCGTCACACTGTGAGGTAGGTCTTGAAAATTACATGGAACATTTGTTCTTGAAGGGGTGGGGGGAACACAAGGAAAAACAAAAAAGCTTTTAGGATCTCGATGAGCAGAACAGCATTTCTGGTTCAAACCTTACCACCTTATGAGAACCTGTGGGAACAGGGGAAAAAGGCACAGAGCAGATCCATAATCCAAAGAAACAACTGCTTGCAGAAAAGAGTCCTGAGATCATCTAAACTCCAACAAGAACCATGAAACAGACTCCTAGCCCTGATGGCAACAAGTCCACCTTTGAGTAGAGTCTTAAGGAAAAACTGCCCAGATACAGATCATGATCTGGACTTCTAGATCAGCTGAGGTTGTCCAGTGGGGAGGAGGAGCTGGCAAGACAGACTGCTAAAGATGCAGTCAGATGGTAAAGGTCCACATCTCTATCTCCACCACTTCCTGATACAGCAAGAGGGAACCAGGTTTCTACTTGCTTTTTGATACAGCAGATGGAGGCAGAGTATGTCCTCATAAATACTTAAGATTCCCATATGATAGGAAGAATTGTCCAACACACACTGAAGAAAGACTAAAACTGGGTAACACTGATGCTGAAAATACATTCCTCTCCAGATCACTATCACAAGTCAGAGAGTGCCAAAACCATCCATTATCTTGATCTGCATCCTTACTGTTCCCTTACCTCCAGGACTGGATGATCTCAGCATGATTTTACTCATGTAGAATGAGCTGAATGAGAACACTTTAAAATTTGCTACAACTTAATCTGGTAGCAAATTAGGTCTTTAAAAGGTCCCAAACTTTCACAAGTCTTGATGCATATCAGACTACCAGGGACTATGAATTCACAGCTTGCAAAAGGCACAATACTGCCACCACTGTTCAGAGGACTTGCCAGAAGAGAAAGCCAGAGACTAAGCCTCTGCTGTAGACTGGGATAGGAAAGAACAGGAAAAGAACAGCTCTTTCTTCCAAGCACTGTAAGAAAGTTTGTCAGGTAACAAACTGCAGTTGGGGAGTTCTCAAAGTAGTTAAGGAGTCTATTTATTTCTGACTGGGCAAAGAAGACATACGCCTCTCCTGAGATGGAAGCCAGCTGGTGGCCTCCAAAGGAATCAGTGTTCTGCTGAGTCAGGATATCAGCTACATCAGGTGTACTCTGAAAGTTGATCTGTTTCAGTTTTACCCTGCAAACCACAGTGAAGCGGATCTAGTATGATAATGAATTAAGAAAACAGCTATAGAACAGAAATGACAATCTGAAAAGAAATACAGTATTTTCACACTTGGGAGTAGTATTAAAGAGTAAAGAAAAATTCATTCAACAAGATGCTGAAATAGGTTTGCAACAGAACACATAAAATAAAAAGTTTGGAGTAAAGTTCTAAGTTTTAGTAAACCTTGGAAAAAGTGTAAGATGACAATCTATTTGTTGGAATGATTGAAGTTTTTGATTGTGTACCAAGAGCAGAAACGACTGCTTCTGACTACTAAAAAATTCTCAAAACAGAAACATGAACAGGTATTATGGAACAACTTCCATATGTGGAAAATGAAGCTAGATACATAGGAGCAACATATAATTTATTTTCAGACTAGCAAGCATATTTATACATTGAAAAAGCTTGCCTAATGCCATTAACCTTGTAAATATAATACTACCACTCTGCTAAAAAATGATCTAAAAGAAAACATTCAAAACTGAAAACAGAATTGCTCCTTTGCTTTTCTTCCTTGAGTTATAGTATTAAGTGTTAGCAATATCAATCCAAGTTACATATACTGATTAAGATCTCCATGAGGGATTTTGGTTCAACCATTTGGTGGTCTCAACAAATAGATAAATACATATAAAGCCCTCTTATCCTCAACAGTTTACAAGCCAAATAAAAGGAAACAAGGGATAGAAGTGGTCTTTCACTTTAACCAAGTACTACTGCTATTAGATTAAGATACACAAACACTATTACAGAAAAAGCATATGTAAAATATATGGCAGACCACTAGATAAATGTTTAAAACCACTTCTATTCACTATTATTTCTCTACTTCAATTAAAGTTTTTGAAACCAAGTCAGGCAGCTGGTTTAGTTTCTATAATACAGTGGAAATGTTGCTACAACTACTGTTGTTAACGTCCTGTTCATTCGCTCATGTGAACTCACTTTAGACATACAAATAGTCTCAATTTCTTCCAGGCCTCAGTTGAGCTATAAACCAAATATACCTTTAAGCATATCCTAAAGTCAAAAAATATCCAAATACAGTCTCCAGAAATTTTCTCTAGGTCTTTTCAATATTCACATGATAAATATTTACTTACATGTTACAAAGATGTGGACAGTCCAAACACTGTCTCTTCTTCCCACAAAGTTCCCCACAGCTATGTGGGATTTCATTTCTATTCCATTCAGGATTGTGTACCTTACCTAAACCATGTCAAAGACAAAAACATATTTATTGCCTTGAATACAATACAGAATTTGGGAAAAATATCACACCGAAAAGAAAAAGCTGTATTTTCAATACTGGCAGTAGTCATCTTTGAAAAACAAAACGACACAATTTGGTTTATGTTTTTTTCTGCTTTCAGTGCTGATATATACTCAACTTCTTTAAAAGTAAGTGCCATTAGAATATCAAGCTCCAAAAGATTCTTTCCTTCTATGCTCTTAGCAGGCACTTAGGTAGCTGGTATTTTATATTCAGCTGATAATACAAGAAAATTAAAAGCCCCCTTTAGTTGGTCAGGCTGCATAGTAGGTAAGAAAATTAAAGGGTCAAACTCTCTTGCTGCCTCAACACAGAAGAAAAAAGGTAAAAAAAGACACTATTCCCAGAAAATAAAATCTAGCTGATAAGGTGATGTAGAACGGGGGCAGAATTAAATGACTGGGCAAATTATAAAAGTCACTTCTCTAAAAAGAAGCAGACTCTACATAAATCTAAACATTAAAGGCTAACATCTTGATGAATGCAGCAGGGTCTTGGAACAAGAAGTGATTAATCTATATTAACTTCAAGTATTCTGTATTTCAGATAAGCACTGTAATCACATTGTAATTAATCTGACATTGTGTTAGCAAATCTCATTGCTCTAAGTGCATGAGAAACCATCAGGGTTAAAGTTAATTGCCATGGTTAACACATACAAAACTAATTTGGTGCTCTGCAAGAGGGCAATTAACAGTGAAGCAACTGAGCCAGTGTTACAAATTTGAGTTGCAACAACTAAAACCACAAAGATATATATATTTTTGGTGACACAGTTATATAATATTAACTCTTTTAGCACTCCTTCAAATATTCTACAAGTAACAAGTTAGGAAAAATACAAATAAACATCAAAGATGGTATTTATTCACTCAAATTTGAATTAAACCAGTTGCATACCTAGTAAAATCCTGAAAATTATTCAGAAGAAAATAAGCTAAAAATTTCCTCATAGAATGGTGGACAAAACCACACTCAACACAGAGTTAGTATTCTGCATCAAACAGAAGATAGCTTTGCATAAGCAACTGGTGATGTCCAAACACCCTGTTATTACTGTAAAATTATCTATAGAAGATCAAAGTTATATATTTCTGCATGGTGCCCTGTTATTATTAACCCTGTGGACAACTTGAGGTTTCTATTGTAGATCTCCCAAAACGATGAAACAGTCTTAAGGCCTAGGCATAATTTCTTTCCTATTTAACAGATTGACAACATGTCTTAGAAGTGTAACTTTTACTTGGAATTAAAACATTCATTCTAACTGAATTTTTATCCCTATACTCGTGTAAGATTTCACACATTGTCCTACAAAAACTCTGTCTTACCTGCACTGCATGTTCTTAACTGACTCACTAACACATTTAGACAAAGAGAACTTTAGATAAAATTGTTACCAACAGTATAAGTCTAGTTTTCTTTAGGGCAAGTTCACTGACTCCCAGTTCCCGTCTCAGTTCCAGAATACTCTGTTTCGTAAAAACCACAGTGAAACTTTGCAGTGACTCCGACTTAAGGAAGGGAAAGCTACATGACAGCAACACAAATTTCAAAAGGGTAAATCCCAAATGAAATTTATTTGCACATATGCAATTAAGTAACATTTCTCCCTTTTTGTCATATACTTAATGGCTTAATGAGTGTTGTACTCACTTCATTTACCTTTTATTAAACATGTGTCTACATAAAGGTCTGAAAAGTCTGAATTCTACTTCCTATTTAATCTGTATGTGTCCAAGCAACATAAATGACAGTATTACTGAATTAATTTAAAGGTTTAGATAGTTGCATGCTCGAATTGTGTATTATTTTGGTGTATCTTGTCACACAGACATAACACATGCAGGTTATTTCAGTACTCCTACAGGAGGAAAAATGGTAGGATAGCAGTCGAATTCTATCCTTATTCTATAAAAATCACTATTTTTACATAGTGATATGAAAATATCACTTATTATTTTTCATTTTTTTAATGTTTTAAGCAACATGTGTGCTTCTCTGTGCAGCCACCTTCCAGCGTCAATGAAGTTTTAAACAAAGTTAAATTTCAGGAATGTAAGCAAACAAGTAGCAAATTGTTTTTCTTTGCAAAAGCAAGCAAGAAACCCACCACAGAAACAAGTGTAAGTTTTAGGAACTTGCGTAGAAGCATTCTGACAAGCTGGACATCTCCAACCACTATTACCATCTGTAAATAAAAAAAAAAAAAGAAAAATTACTTGAAGTAAATAAAAGAGCTAATTTGCAAACCTTGAATAATTGCTCTCAACTTGTTTCTTACCACAGCTGCAACTAAACTAAGTTTCTCAATTTACTCAGAAGTGGTGAGAAAGCAGGTTACTAAAAATGCATTTTATACAGTAACAGCATAAATACATCAATGGTAGTTTATATGACCAGGCTTCAGCTTTATACGGCGGCAAGTACAAATTTTTAAATTGCACTTTTTCTATGGTCATGTAACCTGCTATAAGACATTCTACAAGACTACACAGTCTTCACCATATCTAAAGATGTGGTGAAGTGTTAAGAGCATGGGAAATTAGCAAGAAAAATATAGTTACCTATAGTCTTAACTACCACCTGTATTTTCCTTTCCACTGTCCTCTCATGTTAAGATCTTATGTGTCTTGTAGATGACCAATTTAGTATTGCTTCACCTACAGAATAAATTAACGCTACATAAACCAGAATAATTTAATTAAAGGTCAATACTACTGAATAGTAGTTTCCTTGCTTCTGCATTCCAAGAGAGTGTTGGTTAGCAGTAAAGGAAGAACTTCAGTGTAAGGAAAGGAACATTCATTAAGATGTTTCCCAAATTAAACGCATATCTGGCTATGAAGAATACCAGTGAGAGTGCACTACTGAAGACAAAGGGGAGGACAGGGAGGATAGAGAGAAATATTCTTTTAATAGATATAAAACCATAAACTGATTAGCTCTTACTATCTCTATTAACCAATCAGTTCAGTGCTGGTGAATTAATAAAGCTGTGATTTTAGAACTGTACTTTGTGATAAAGAAACATGACCAAGATTTATGTTATTTTCACATTACGAATGCAGAAGGGATTGTGAACAGGAAACCCTATGTGTGACAAGACAACAGCACTGCAATGACAGGCATGCCTAGATTCGCTATCAATTAACTGGAGACTTCTTATGTTAACCATCATAATTCACAACTGTTAATGATTTTCACAAACTGGAAATGATCCAGATTACAGACTGCCTTGACACTCTTGAAAGGCAAATCTAAAGCATGTCTATTCTTTTCAATACTTAGTGCATATTCATACCCTTTGTTATTCTGGCTCATATCACTATGTCACCAAGACTGCTGCAGAGCACTCACTGTACAGTTATGGGCTGAGCAGCTGTAAGCACAAGGAGTATACTCTCATATTCATACTCAAAACCAACTTGCATTTTCTGACCAAGTTCGGTTTTTGGGGTTTTTTTTATTTGACTGCTACAAACTGAAGCATATCAGAAAGAAGCATTAAAGGCTACAGGTAAAACCTCGCAGCAGGGGACCAAGAGGGGTATCTGCTGACAAAGCTGTTAGCACCTTACGTGGCTCCTCCCAAAGCCAGCATACTAAACCCTAAGGGATTCTCTATGGGATTACTTTGTACAGTATACTTAACTATTACATTAACAACAAAATTTATTTCATTATGTTCTTCAAAAGCTGTGAAGGTAAGCCTACCATCAAAGCTTCAGGAGGCCAGCAGAAGGCCTCTCCTATCAATAGCTCTCCTGGAGCAGGATGTCTCGTCTTCTACAAGTACCAGTTTCTCTAGAGTATAGCGAAGGTGCTTGTAAAATAGGAACCTTTTACCAAGCAAAACAGCATTTCAAGATATATTTTGTTCTTCTTAATCCTTGATTATCCTTTGCTCCTCTCTAAGACATAACTACATTCATGTGAGTCTACCCACAAGGAACATGCATGGTTGCCCTCTTCTAAAAAGACAAGAAATGTAAGTTTTCTTCCTCGATTCAGCTGCAATTACAGTAGGATAGAATGACAGTAGGATGACTCCTGACATCCACATTTGTGGTCCTGTAACTACTCCTTACAAATCCTGATCACTGAAGAAAGTGAGAATGAGGATGACCCTACAGAATCAACATCCCACTCTCATGAATCTTCTCATGAATAGCAGCAAAGTAGGCAGAATTCCAACCAAAGCCACCAGAAGGACAGTTGTCTAAGCAAAATCAATACATCTCAGTCCTGTTTACTAGAGATTAGTTTAGTATTTTCTATCTTCTTTCTCCTTTTAGGATAAAGATTCCTTACTTGTAATTATTTACCAAAATTTCTTCCATACTTTCATATTGCAAGCATCCCTACTTGTAGCACTTTCAGCCAAAAAATTCTTTTACCTCTGGTAGCATGCCCAGAATCCTACCCCTTTCTATTGCATACCTGTTGTCATAAGGGCACAGTGAATAATCTCCTCAGTTTCCAGAACTATAAAGGATCAAGGAGCTCAAAAGAACGTTGAGTAGGAAGAGCTAAGAATTATATATAAAGACTATGGATCTTTACATGCAGTTTCAAATAAGCAACTTTCCTCTTTACATGCTTGCCTAGATGAGTCATAGGTGATTACATAAGAAAAGATCCAAATACATCTGCTGGAATAAAGAGTGAATGTTAAAAGGCTACGTTTCCACAGGCAGCAGTGCAACAGGAATTTTCAACATATATACAATGCTAGGTACATTAAAAAAACCTCTAAACAAATTTCAGTCACTTCAACTGTAGTAGAATATACTAGAACCAAGACTGGCAGTTTCATGTTACCATTTCTAAAAGGTTTGATACAGTTCTCCAATGAGATAATCTGTATCAGAATAAATTATTGCTTTGACTTCTCAGCTAGACATAATCAAAAGCTTTTGTCCCAGTAACAAGTGACATCTCTAATATCCAAGGCGCACAGAATGGCTTCAGCCCTTGAACACCATTACCTAAGAAAAAAAAAAAAAAAAAAAGGAAAAAAAGAGAAAAAAAGGCAAGTAGATTCATATTCTGACCACTGAAACTCAGAAGCCATCTCAGAGGCCAATATTGGTACAAACCACTAGCTCACCTGGAAGTGGAGGGCAGGGGCAACAGAGGGAGCAGAATAGAGAGAGACAGTTGTAATAACTCAAAATATTTTCAACCCTTCCAGATAAAATACCAGTAAAATTACCTTCCCTGCAAAGAAGGGAGCAAATGGCTTAAACTTTTGTTCCATCAACGTATGGGCGCAAGTCAAACACCACTGAAGCATCAGTTTTTAAAAGATGTAGAAGGAGGAAGGGGACAAGAGACAACAATTTCTCCCTTTATAAACATAACAAAGTAAAAGATCTTGTGGGCAATGCAGGTATTCTTGTCAGACTGACCTTAGCTGTGCAATATCTAAAGGTCGTATTCCTCTTAGACATAATTCAATATGTTAGTAAAAATGCTTCTTAAGGAGAAAGTTATGTTCTTCCTTATAGAAAACAATCTTTCTACATGATGGCAAAGTGGTGTTTGGCAGAGCTTCTCCTCCTCCCGACCAGGACATCTCTAATACAAATGAAAATCCATTCTCTAGCTCCGAGTGCTGATGACAGCCTACACAATACTGAACTCTGGATGTCAACCACAACTCTAATGTAAGCAAACCAAGAATAGAGCAATGCACTATGACTCCCCACAGATAATCAGGAGATTCTTTTACCTGGCTTGGCCAAACTAGAAGTCATTTTCCAGATGACCATCAAGACAATAGAAGGCAAAGAAGTTTCTGAGGGAACACACCTTCAGTGAAATGCATCTGAAGGAGTCCCTGAGAAGAAGGGTGCAAGAAGACTTTTTTTACAGTAACCCAGGATAATTTTTCACTTCTTCCCACCTGAGTACATGGAGTCCCAAGCACGTTTTATCTCACTGACACACTAACCCAGGATAGCTCACTTCTCACCGTCATCTGCACCCACCTTTGCATGGGTGCCAACCTGATGGCTATCTGCGGATCCCAGAATTTGGACAATGGCATCCACATTACATCAAGTTCGCTAATGAGGAAAACAGGACATGGCATATGTATATGTTAAGTTAATCGGTGCAAGATTTACTATCCATCCATGCAGTGCATTACTTTGAGCTTCACTTCCTTTGTGCTGGGCCCCCATTTGATTAGCATTGGTGTCGCAGGCTCCCACCTTGGTGGAAATCCAAAGCTTTCACTTGCTGAGTGTTATGCCTTGTCTCTGAGCGATCCGCACCTGCTTTTCCTTCATAACAGATACCTGTTACTATTGATCTGGAAGATGGAACTACACAATATGATATCCCACCAAGGATGTTACCTACTTCATCCAAGTATTCAGGATTTCTCTAATACAATGCTGCGATGACAAAAATTTGTGGGGGAATTATGTACCCATGCATACTTTCAACCTCCAACTACGTGCTGTAGAAATAAGAGCTGCTTTAAGGCCCCAAATGGAGGGACCTTCTCACTAAAACATTCAGTTGCTTCAAAAACATAAAAGAACTGACACTCAAAACTGATCTTATGAACAAAATAATCTCACTAGGCTGGAAGTGAAGCATAGCAATGAAAAGTTATGGTACTGAGATTAGAAAATTTTCTGCAATTCATTGTAACATTTGCAGAATCAAGCAGATTTCAAGTAGATCGTGTCCAGAAAAAAGGGGGTTTTCCCCTTCCAGAAAAACAGATTATTATTGTGTTAGGCAGATTACAGTGTCCTATTTCTCCTCCAGTAAACAATAATTATTGCCAGGGTTCTAGTGAATTCTCCAACATTATATAAAGCCTGGGAAGTAGAATCTACGCTGAAACAGCCTACCATAAAACAACTACACACTGAAGTACAAGTTCTAATCAAGATAGGGTAGCAGGGCCTTGCAGGTCAAGAAATATGCATCAGTGTCCTTACTGGAGCTATAGAATCAGTTCTACTGAGGCCACCACTTTTAATTTCAATTAATGATTAGCTCAAGTTCTCTCATACACAGGATACTGTAACACATGTAGTCTACAAATTCTTACAAGAAAAGTAAATGGTCAAAAAATACTGCTACTTGAAATGCTGTCAGGATTCAATCACCTAAGAGCACTGTCTTGATAGATAAGCAAAACCACCCTTACACAAGCAGACACCCTCCTGATCAAGCAGTAAGCTGTTTTAGGGAGATAAATCAGCTCTGAAGGTGGTGACACAAAAACAGCTAGGAGTTTGGCTTGGGATCTCAGTCTTACCCAAAGATCTGTTCCCTTCTCAAACATTCCAATGCCTTTACGTTTCATATCTTGTGGTGGTGTTTGTAACTTTTCTACTGTATGAACTATGACCAGCCCTACCCAGAAGCCTGTGTATTCATCTTCAGAAATCCAAGAACTTTGCAACTAATCCTGTCTGCAAGAGATTTACAGTCTGTAAGAACTTCTGTCAAACATCTGGAAGTAGCTAACAGACTCCATTTCCTTGGTCTATACAGAGAGACAGAAGGACGCATGAAAAGTGATAAAGCTAAACAAGGTGGTTACAGAAAAAATTAACCCTACTTCAAGATTAACATTACAGTCTTCAGAGTGTGTCTACATGACACAACTGAACACAGCAGAGAGGCTGCAATTCAGCCTTAACTTACACCAAAGCATTCAAAGGGCAGAATGCAGAGGTCTGAGTTTCAAAAACTGGTATCATACAAAAAATCTTATTTAAGCTAATGACAAAGGCATAAGGTTTCTGTCTTCTCTGAATTTCATTTGACTGCGTGGTATCAGTAATGTATTTCAGAAGTACTTTATCTGAGAACAGAACTAAGAAGCGGTTTGAATAAAAGCAGGCAACTAATGCTTGGAGTACTGCTTCTGTTTGACTGCTCAGCCAAGCACAAATGAGAGATGAGACATTTCTTGGTGTGTAAAAACACAGCCACAGAGCTTTGCATCTTGAGGCACCAATTTGAGTGATCTTATGTTCCCAAACCTGGAAATTAGTTATAGCTAGAATACTAAGAAGAATCAAAACAGTTAGGAGGATTATACAAAGCATCCAAAAAACCCTGAAAAAAGAATTTTAATTTAAAACTTGCTTTGTTCACAGCTTACTGATTAACTTAGGCAATATTTATAAGAAGGTTTCCAACGTAAGAAACACATGAACTTTGCTATTATGTGTATTTGAGAGAAAATGTGTGCAAGAGAATACCAACCTTCAGCCTGTGAAGCTGGTGATCGTGCCCACTTCTTAATGCAATTCAGATGGAAAACATGGTAACAATTCTGACAGCTCCACACTGGGGCTACTATTCGGACCACCTCACAGCATACCATGCACTCGTACTTCTCTGTGGTCAACTGTTCAATCAGTGACCCTGCAAATAAAATAAATTACTTGTGCATGAAAAATCTCATAGCCAAGAAACAGAATCCAAATGAATTTCCAATGTTTTATCTAAATTATAACAGAACTTATTTTTCCTGTGTTGCTATAAGCAAGGCATTAGTGAACTCCTGGAAGGTTCCAGTTTGATAGCTGGTATGCATTTCTCTAGCTTCGGAGCAGGAAGAGGAGAGTATGAGATTCCCATAAAACTGGAAACAATAATTCCTGTTGATGAATAGCAACCATTCTGATATTGCAAATTGGTTAGTAGATTTAAGCTTGGCAGAAGTTTGAGATTTTACTCATCACTTTATATGGGAAATTTATCGTCGCATAAAGTTTAAATCAAAAAGCTTAAAGCTCTTAATTACAGAAGTTGCAGCCAATATTAAATGTAATTCCCAGCCTCCAGTATTCCTGGAAGACCACACAACAAGTATTAACAGAGAAGTACCTGGATTACAGCAATAAGATCCTCAAACTGACTGCTTTAGGAGTGGAATCACTGGGAAACAACAGTCAAAGTACAGGGCCTTTTGAGCCATAAGAAAGAACAGGAAAAAGTACTTTGAAAATAAAGCAAGAACTCCATAAAAAAGACAAAACAGCCTGAAAACATAGTTAGATGTGCAACCATAACAAAGGTACCACCTGATTTCAATTCTGCCAGTTTACCTCTTCCATCAAGGTAATGTTACCAAATATACCTCAGAAATGTTATTTAATCTATGCCTAGAATTTTAAAATATCTTAATTACAAGTGTAAAAACATACCATTTTTAGATGGTGTCAATACAAGGGAAATTAGAACTCATAATGGACAAAAAAATGAGAATAACAAAAGAAAAATTACTATCAATTTAAAATGTGCTTGTACTACACATGACTGAAAGCAAGCCTGTGGTTGCCTGGAAACTTGGAAGTATTAACAGTTTGCCCTCCGTAATAGGAGATAAGCACTTTCAAGCTTCTTTTCCCATCCTCCTGCATCAAGCACCACAAGATTTAGAATTAAGTCACTTCTGCTTTCAGTGCCCCATGAATATTATCTGCTGCAAAGAAAGCATTCTCACCTAAACCATACTACTTTTTCTACGGAAGACTAAAGCTATACCATGCTCAGATATGATAGCTGTCCAATAGGTAATACAGAAGAGCAGACTCAGTCCCCTGAAAATAGCGGCAGATACTGTTTCCAAAATAGCTCCCAACTCAACCATGCAAAGAAAGACTGTCATTTTTGAGGGGTAAATTCTCTAAGATTACTATTTCTTTTCCTGCTTATTGCCTATGATGTTTTTCATTTAATAATGCTGGTAGAAAGACTAAGGTATCTTTTAATTTTATTATTCAAGTAGAACCCAGAAGCATGAAAGTTAGTATATTTAAGTTAAAAATCTTGATCCTTGAGCTCCTCATAAGGGAACAAAGTTTCTGAGTGGAGCTATCTTATGCTTCCCAATTATGCCACTAATTTCTCAGCTCTGAAAGAGATAAGCCACTGAGAAGAAAAATCTTCAAAAGATTCAATACCACAGTTAAGGTAACAGGAACTAGTCTACCCATCTCTCATTCTGGGCAGCAGGAGACCAGGTTGAGATGCTTAGTAAAAACCAACTGAATATAATTGTTAGTGTTTGTTCAACTGGAAAGGAACAAAAAACAAAATGAAAAAAAAAAAATAAAATCAAAGGACAACCTCTCTCCTTATTGCCTCTGAAAAAAAAATAGGACTACTTCTGCTAGGTACTATGAATGAGACTATTTTCTCTGTACACACCTAAACTTATCTAAAACAGTAAGAAAAAGCTACCTAGGTTGTCTAGCAATGGAAACCAGTACTGTGCACTGCAAAGATTCAGCTGATTTCCATTTAATGTTTTAAGTCCCTAATGGTATGAGTTGGCACAAAATTCACTCAGACAGTCAAAACCTGTAGGTCTGCTTTACACTCTCAACAGCACATGCTTCTATTCTCAACTTCCAAAAATAGCATCCAGAGACTTTCTCTATTTCTAATTACTTTTTCCTACTACTGCTGAAAAAAAAGAAGAGCAAAAAATTCCATTAGGAGCAATCTGGCATTCTCCTATTTCTACATAAAACATGAGAAAATTTATTCTGCAAAAATCTGTTCTGGGATTGTTCCTCAAGTCTCATTGTTCAAAACACTCAGAATTTTACTCCCCACTCCCTCAACATATGTTTTAACACAGTGCCTAGCCAGGTCATCATTTGTAGTTTTGCAGTGAAAAAAAAAAAAAAAAAAAAAAATTAAACAAAAACTGTTTTTCCCTAGTAAACTTACAGAACACCTCCCCACACTGGGAAACCACACATTTACATTTAATTCTACGCTCTGAAACTGATCTTGACCTAATGGGAAATAATAAGCCTCTTCAACTAGTCAAAGGTAAATGCTGTTTAAATTATTCGAGAACATATCTTTAATACAGAAGTATAGGACAGGCTAGAAAGCTTACCTGTATGAGTTTCTTTGTTTTTTGGTACATCACTTTGCTTTTTCCAGTATTGGGTCCAGCTGAAATGAAGGGCAGGTGCCTGATCCCCCTTTAGCAGGAACTTTCTTCCATTACATCTGACAGAATCAGACAACTGATGCCTGATTTCACTGGTCAAGTTTTCCTCATTCTTGTGATCAGAGATTTCTTTCTTCCTCTCATTTTTATCTTTTGGAGCATATGCAAGAGAAGACTTCTTACCTACTCTTGTATTTTTACTACGGTGAGAATCATGTCTTTTCTGACACTCCTTTTCTACTGGGGGTTTATTCCACACAGGCTTCCGGGGATATCTTTTGTTTACGTAATTGTAGCCTTTCTGCTCATCCGCACTACCAACAGGTGCATCACAGAATGCCTTTCCAACAGATGATTCTGAAGAGTCAGACTGAGTCAAATCCAAAGGTGGAACATTTTCAAACAGCTCCACTTTCTGTTTAGAGCTCACTCTCTTTTCCCGGTCATGTACTTGCTTTCCCTTCTCCCTGAAACCTCTTCCAGATGCATGCATTAGATGTGTTTTCTTTGGCTTTGCTCCTCTGCTATCTGCATTAGGTACCTCTCTGTCACTCTCTGAGGAGAGAAAGTCATTGTACCCTCTAGGAGGTGCTCTTCTCCCAGGTACTACTGCAGCATCTGTAATTCCTGCACCTGCAGCAGCATCGGCAGTAGTTTGCCTTATCTTACTTCTAGCATGTGCGCTATCATTTCTTGATCTGTGCCATCTCTGGCTTTGCAAGTTACGATTCTTCAAACTTTTACTGGTACTAAAATACTGGTGGAAGTCTTCAGAATTCCCATACTGACTGTCTGGATTACAAAAGCCATGATGCTTTGTGGAAGAGCTTTCATAATCTCTACCTCTTTCAGAGGACAGACTAGGAAATGGTAACTTACTTCTGTTCTGAACACTGTTGGAGTCTTTCCTATCTTTATTTACCCAATTTATATCTGTAGGTTGTCCTTCTCCTGGAATAGAATCAGCAGCATCAGGATTGAAATTCAATGAACCTAAAAAGTGAAAAAAATAAAAAGTCATATAAGACTATTAAATAAACATATCATTTCAGCAAAATTACCATACATGCAAAGGCCCAGAAGTTCAATCAATCCCTCACTTGACAGAACTGAAAACAGTTTCCAGAAACCAGAGTCAAATCATATAGTGCTTTGTGGAAGTTACTTTCTCTTGTAAGCTTTAGAGAAAGACTGTGATGATCTAGAATGAAGAAAAACATTTGAAGTATGTATACAAGACATGCAAGTGTGATAATCAGTGTTTAACATGTGGCTGAGGTTTTTCCTAGCATGTTTACATACAAACCTGAAGAAAAATGGCTACATCTGAGATTTTAATATTACAAAGAACTTCAAACAAATTAAAATCCATCAGCCAAAAAGTAGCAATAGTAAATGCCTGCATGAACACTGATTACACTGCTCTACATATAGACACAGTAAGTGGTAGAGGGACTACCCAGGGCAGCTTTGCAAAGTTAGTTTTGCTGTTAGGAGGCCATCAGCATCAACCATGGTTCTACTTGAGTGGCTGATGACTATCCTGTTATTTCTAGGTCTCTAGATAAAAGAAAGAGGTGCACATTACAAATCTCATGTTGCTCAATTTCATATCACATCGTGCCAGTGGGGCCTGCCTGCAACAGCAGTTATCAGGTGAGTATCAGGGACAGTTTAATGGGCTGTGGCAGATTAAGTCTTACACAATAGTGTAAGACTTAGGAAACCTGAATTTGAGACAATAGAATTAGAACACAAGACAGAGGTCTTTCAAAACACCTGGGTATTGAGTTGAGAATCAATCTTAACTGAAGGGGAGGGGAAGCGGAGAGGTGCTGATCTCTTCTCTCCAACTGCCAATGCCAGGATCCATGGGAATGACTCAAAGGCGTGTTTGTCAGGGGAGCTTCAGACTTGACATTAAAGAAGCGTTTCTTTACTGAGAGGATGGTCAAACCCTGGAACAGGCTTCCTGTAGAGGTGGTCAATGCCCCATGCTGATCAGTATTTAAGAGGCATTTGAACACTGCCCTTAAGAGCATGCTATAACTTTTGGTCAGCCCTGTCAGTCAGGCAGTTGGACTCAACGACCACTGTAGGTCCCTTCCAGCTGAACTAATCTATTCTATCGTTAGAACTGCAGACCCTAGTAGGTACAAAATATTAGGCTTATACATCTGAAAGAATCTAGACTGCAAGCAGCTTCCCTGGAAACATACTATTTTTCTCCTCTTAGCATGCATATTCTGTGTAAAGAACTCAGAAGTTATCCTTTTTTACTTTCTACAACCATACTTCCTTTCAGTTCTTCCAATGTTTTGTTAGTTTCTTTTCTATCACTAATAAAGAGGACTACAAACATAAATTGAATTCCTTTATAATGTAAAGAGCAGTCATTCAGTATACATTACTTAAAATAGTTCCACATATTTTGAGTTGAAGACAGGATGTAATCCTGCAATTACAAATAAACTTTATTTGAAACAACACATTTCATTAGTTGGTTTAAGATTTCTTTTATATACACTAAAAAATAAAGTCTAATAGACAGATGCAACAAGGTAAACCAAATGACTTCTTAATGGTTAATAAAAACATGTTTTTCAAAAATCTCTCAGTTTGCCTCTAAAGAGTATGCTCTATTATTAAAGACCATTGTTTCTTCAGTTACGAGATGCAGTATATAAAATGCATGCATGAATTATAAAAGGAATTGCTGCAGAAGGCTTTCAAATGAATGCAGTAAATAAGCTTGAGTATGTTTTGTAGATCAGTAAAACATACTGTCTTATACTGACATAAAAACCCATGCTGTTTATGGCTTTAAAATGCTGGTTTTCTAAAATGCAGCCAAATTGACTTTTGAGCATGCTCTCCAAGAAGCATAACCAGGACTTGAAATGTGGAAGTGGTATTTTTGAAAGCACTTTCCAAATAATCTATTAAGTTTGAAGAAACAGATGGGAAACCAGGAAACCAGATATTTAAAAGCACCTCCAAAATATGAATAATTCATTAGGGCTTTTTATATCACCCATGAGTAGGATTCCTATTCTTACTGTCAGCTTTTACATTATAAAAATTTCCAAAGTGGTGAATTCTACCAAAACTGATTTCTGTCTGCCAAGATAAGAAGCAGCAAAATACATACACAAGTATAATAATCAGTAGCTAACACTGGCTCTAATTTCTTCTGACATGTTTACCTGTACAAAAATCCCAAGAAAAAGGGAACTTTCAAAGCTAGATAGTCCATATTTCTAGAAAATAAAGAGAATCACAGTATCTTTAGAAACAACCTCTACATTCCAAATTTTAACATCCTTAAGAGCTTGAATGTGAATTAAAATGAAGCATATGAAACTCATATGGTTTCATGCCTGTTCTGCCATAACATTACAGCCTTCAGCATTAATGTGGACAAACCAAAATGCCCTGGCAAAGTTAGGCAGTCTGTGTGAACTATCCTTCAGAAAAATAAATTGGTAAGGACACTTTTAAAAATATGAAACAAATTATTAAGCACATGTCTCATTTTAATAAGTACAAGTTCTGCTTCAAAACCAGATTATTTTGGGGACAAGTACAACCAAAGTTAATAACTTAGGTACTTCTTTTATGAAGACAACAGTAATGATATTTGAAAGTGTCACTTAAAGACATCCTGTCCAAGTGACATTTCTTAGCACGGTATCAGCGAGCTAAATTCCAATTAGATTTTGAGGGGCCATTAAACAATGTGCTTCAATTAGGCAGAGACTATATGAAGTTGATAATTAAGAATAAATATAAGAAAGAAAAAAAATATCAACAAAGTCCAGCCAGAGAAACTTATAATAGGTTGGGGCTACACTGTATACTCTTGTGCACCTGTCAGAGGCAGTACTTTATACTTAAACTAATTCAGCTCTATCTCTCAGATAGGAAGAACTTTCACTCTCATTCTGAAGCTTTAGATCAATACAAAACTGGAACTAAATAAAAAAAACTGATTAGTACCAGTCTTTCTGACTGGACAAGCACTTATTTCTTAATTGACCACTTCTGATTGAGATACCCATAAATTCAACCAAAAATAATGGAGTACTCTATGCAGTTTTGGTCTTCACAATGCAAGATCTAAACATATTAGAATGTGTCCAAAGGAGGGCAACAAGGATGGTAAAAAGGCTAGAAGACATGACTTATGAGAAGCAGCTGAGGATACTAGCGGTGACCTCACTGCTGTCTACAGCTTCCTTATGAGGGGGAGCAGAGAGGGAAGTGCTGATCTCCCTGAAGGCCAGTGACAGGATATGAAGGAATGGCTTAAAGCTGCATCAGGGGAAGTTCAAATTGGGTAGTACTAGGAAAAAGCTCTTCAATGACAGGATGGTCAAGCACTGGAAAAAGTTTCTCAGGCAAGCAGTCATGGCCCCAAGCCTTTCAGTGTTCTAGAAGTGTTTGGATAATGCTCTTGAGTACCTGGTTTAACTTTTAGGTTGCCCTGTGAGGAGTCAGGAGTTGGACTCAATGACCCTTGTGAGTCCCTTCCAACTCTGGATATTCTATATGTTCCGTTCATATACCAGCTTCCAATAGAAGACAAAGGTAATTTCAGGACAGACGTCTTCAGGCTTAAAGAAATTCAAATAACCTATTCTTTCACCTAAAGATTGATGACAGTACAAAGTGCATACACAACAATCTATTTGTCAGCACTGCATACATCCAGACAAGAAATGGTCCAGTCAGCTGGACACAAAGGACAAGTTACAGGGAAGACACTCCCTGCGAGTCTTATGGTATCAGTATTACACTGTACCACAAAAAAGAAAAACAAACAGGAATGGTGCATTATGGAAATGTGAGGCTTCTCCCATACCACTGGAAGCTTTAAACCTCTTCCTCACAGAACAAGCTTGATGTTTTCTTCTTTGATCACTTCATACATTCACTTAGAGCATCCTGTCATTTGCAGACACAACAGAGATTTACAGAAGGTTGGATTTCTTCCTAAATGGAAGTTAGACTGTTTCAGGCTTAAAGACTCAAGCAGTGCAACCCATTTGTATGCAAAATAATCTGCCTGCCCAAAACTTACTGCTTATTCCAACTATAATAGCTCATCTAATAAAGGATATGCTCCCTTTCTGCAACTCTTGCCAGAATTGAGAACTATTAACATGCAAAATCATCATTATCACAGAACGGCTGACGTTGGAATCTTGAGATCATCTAGTGCAAGTACCCTGCTCAAACAGGGTCAGCTAGAGCAAGCTGCCCACAACTGTGTCCAGCCGGGTTTTGAGTATCTCTAATGAGAGAGGCCTCGAACTCTCTGAGCAACCTGTTCCAATGTATGACAATCCTCACAGTAAAAAGGCTTCTTCTTGTGTTCAGATAGAATTTCATGTGGTTTAATTTGTACCTTTTGCCTCTTGTCCTTTAACTTAGTACCACTGAGAAAAATCTGGCTCCATATCCTTTACTCTCTCCTGCCAGGTATTTGTACACTGCACTAAGATCACTCAGACTTCTCCAGACAGAACAGTTCCAGCTCTCTCAGCCTCTCCTCATATGAGGGATGCTTCAATGCCTTAATCATCTTTATGGCCCTTTGCTGGTCTCACTCCACTATGTCCATGTCTTTCTTGCATGGGGAGCCCAGAACCAGAAACAATGCTCCAGGGGCGGCCTCACCAGTGCTGAGCAGCGGGGAAGGTGCACCTCCCTTGACAAACTGACAAGACTCTTCCTAATGTAGTCTAGGATACTGTTGGCCTCCCTTGCAGACAGAGTGCATTGCTGACTCATGGTCTGCTTACAGTCCACCCAGGACCCCGAGGTCCCTGTCTGCAGAGCTGCTTTCCAGCTAGTTAGCCTGCTGTGTATACAGGCACACAGTACAATGTTTTTGTCTATTTATGCTACCGTCCAAACTCAGAGCATCCACATTTTGAACAGAACATGAAGCTTTAGCTAACTCATTTCAAAATGGCATAGGAGAAATATAAAAGTAGGTAAAGAAATATAACTTCACCATAAGTAGCTTCATCATCCTAAGAGAAGTATCTTCTACAGAATGGATTTTGCATTAAGGAGAATAAACATATAAGTTTTCACTTTCCTGGTCACCCTTACAGAGGGCTACTCAGTGCTTCACAGCAACTCCCTGATATCGTCAGTTTAATGATGCATTGTACCACGTATGACAGTGTCATTGTGAAGGAAAAAAAACAAAACTACATTCAACAGCTATTATGGCAACTGATGGAAAAAAAAAAAATCCATTCGTGGCTATTAAATGCAAATATGACCTGTCCCTTCTAGGCACACAGGGCTGGAAACAAGAATGGCATATTAATGTGAATAATCATTCTACAATTGCCTCATTTCTTACATTCTTCCCCTTTGTCTCATATATCCCTAGGCCTCAATAATAGTTCACTAGTGGCAAAATACCCTGGATGGGCTGCACATCTGTCATGACCAAGCCGTCATTCTTTGACTTCAGCTGCTTCCCCATATCTACACTGAGAGCAGAAATATCTTCCATATTTAAGCTCTCAAAATCATACACTCACTCTATTCATGAAGCTGCAGGGTAAAAGCCAATTCCCATCCTAATATGGCACAAGCTCAATTTGAAACTTCCCTACGAGATGATTCTTGATAACACAGTATGTATTAACATAAAAAGGAATAAGCTGCATAACTTAATGCCATGTAACAGTATCTGTGTTAGCTTAAGTATTACAAAGCAAATGTAGGAACGGTGTGCCATCTAGACTAATCTACTGCCTTCAATAAAGCTACTTCTTGCTTGGTAAACCTATTTAAGACCCTTCATTCCAATATATATACACTGTACAAAAGGTTTTCAGGACTAGAGCTGACTCGCAGCCTGACAGCACGGAAGATAAACAGGCAAGCAGACATGCGCATGCACCAGCTTCTCTTGACTGAAACTATCAGTCTCTGCTCTCTGAACCACGTCCCAGGCCATTCCGCTTCCCACAAGGCAGCTGTGGGCCCATCTCCATCCCATCAACAAACAAACGGAAAAAAAAATCTTTTCTTGCACTTGCGGCATTCAGTCCCGCCGCCGCTCTCCGCCCGTGAGCCCCCGCCTCATCCCCCCCGAGCGGGCGGCACCGGTGGCGTCCAAAATGGCTGGACTCGGCTTTGCCGCAGGGCCCGCGAGGGAAACTTTGCCTGAGGAGGTGGAGGAGCGCGCGAGCTTCTCGAGTGCTAGGAGCGAACGGGAGCGCCCGCAAAAAATACAAAGAGCCGGTTGGTTTCTGGAGACCTTGCTGCTTCCTGCCCGCCCGCGCGACCCGGCAGCGGTCACAGCCCCCGGGCCGCTGGAAAACGGCGGCGTTTCGTGGGTTCTGAGACCGGAGGTCTGGGGTGCATAGTTCACGCGAAGTTGGAGTAACTCACACCCTTATCTCCCGGTTCTTTCATTTGACCACAGCACTTCTAAATGAGTGACTCACCCTGTCATTGTTCTATTTACAAGTTTAGAATGGGCAGAGTAGAAAATTCCCGATAGACATCACTAGCACTGGCAGTAAATTGGCCGTTTGCTTGGCAATCAGCTTGCCTGCAGCAGCCTTCCCCTGAAACGGGCTTACTGTATGGGCTGCACTTCAGAGCCTGGCTGAGCGGGCCAAGAGCAGGAGGGTGGGTACAGGACAGCCCACCGCTCTGTCTCAGTGCATGAAACAGGTGCTTTCTCTAGGCACAGGGTAGAAAATAGGGGTGTGTCGTCAGGCTATCTATTGCATCCTGCATGCACTGCTCAAGAGAGGTTGTAGAGCCACACACTTGTCATCCCAATGGAGTGCTGGAACTTAAGCTTCTGTTGGAAAGCCCAGACAAGGATTTCTATACTACAGCTGGTGCTGCAGGCAAATTTTACCATGATCCAGATACAAATAATCTGTAGACCTGCATGCTTTGTCATACTGCGGGTTTCAGCACCAGCGTTTAACTGTTATATGATTCACACCTCCCTGCAGAGGTTTGCAGTGCCATGGTTACAGTACATCTACAGAACAGTTCTATGCTTTTACTGCTGCAATGTGGCTCCAGAGTCCTTACAGAGCTGCTTATCTTTTCAGACACTGCAGAATAAGTTTGCAGTTCCATAGCAACTGCAGCTCTGAAGAACGGTGCCTCAGGAGCACTGCTGCACACAGCCTCGGCACTCTGCCCTCTGCACCCTCCTGGTGAAATGCTCAGATAGATGCTCCATCTGCTGCATAGTTCTTCCCCTCCTTGTGGGCAAAGCTGGTGGCCCCAAAGCCCTCATAGAACCAGTGGGCTTGTTGCAGAAACACTAGCTGTTGAAATGCACCCCAGACTCCTGCCACTGCCGCAAATGGAGCTTTCAAACTGTTATGGCAACAGTTTCATGAAGATGCTACATGTTTTGC